AAGATCATGTTTAATGTCCATGTCACACCTATGCCGGTAGTTGTTGGGAGCACTACGCTCGAAGTTGTTGACGAGTACGTTTACCTGGGACAAATAGTCCGACTAGGTAAGTCCAACTTCGACCGAGAGGTCAATCGACGGATTCAACTCGGCTGGGCAGCGTTCGGGAAATTACGACACATCTTCTCGTCAGGTATACCTCAATCTCTGAAAACTAAAGTGTATAACCAGTGAGTGTTGCCAGTGATGACTTACGGATCTGAGACGTGGTCCTTCACCGCTGGCCGTATGAGGACGCTCAAGGTCGCTCAGCGAGCTATGGAGAGGGCTATGCTCGGAGTTTCACTGCGTGATAAACTCAGAAATGAGGATATCCGCTGTAAAACCAGAGTGACCGACATAGCCCAACGGATTAGTAAGCTGAAGTGGCAATGGGCCGGACATATAGCTCGAAGAACCGATAACCGATGGGGAAGAAAGGTTCTAGAGTGGCAGCCTCGTACCGGTAGGCGTAGTGTAGGGCGACCCCCACTAGATGGAGTGACGACCTGGTAAGACATGCAGGAAGTCGATGGATGCAGGTGGCTCAGGACCGTGCTTTGTGGTATTATTTGGGGGGAGGCCTATGTTCAGCAGTGGACTTGTGACAGTGGAATTGAAGGGCTGTAATGATGATGATGATGATATTATTAGAACTGCATTGATAGAATCTTGAAAGTCATCTATAATCAAACCGATCTAAACGTAAATTTCGTAGTAAGTACGTAAGCAACCCAAATTAGATCCGCGCGGACTCCCCCTCATATTTAAACTGAAATTTGAAGTTTAAATTTACCACTTCTCGGTGGTGGAGAAAAACATCGCAAGGAAACCTGCATATCTGAAAAGTAACAAAAATTATTTCGGAAATTGTTTTTAGGTATAATTAAGTGTATATTTTATAGTATTCTATGTTATGGTATGTGAAGTAGGTTCATCAATTGGATTTCCTGATTTCCTCCACAGACTGTCAAGTAGGTTGGATAGTTGCCACGCTTGGCATGCGGGATGCCAACTGCTGATTTTGAGCTACGATCAGGAGGACGCTGCTGCCCATCTTATGTAAATTTCTGTTCATGAATATAGTTCATCTTACACGTTCACCGTGAATAGAACTACATTTATGAAACTTTGGATTCTACTCGAACGTAAAAAAATACTGGCATGTGGGTCTAATCAATATTCAATGGGACCAATATTAATAAAGACTATGAAATTATACAGTATTCTATCAAAACTATATTAACTTTAATAATGCATGTTATATAAATAACGCATTTCCGATTCCAGGACAATTTTGCCTACATAAAGACACATCGGAAGACGTGCCTGATATAAAAAAGGTGTTGCTTGACGTATGATAGTTATGCAATTCTGATAAACTAACTTATGTGTTTCTGTAGCCTATAATATTGCCTATAGACTTAGAATATACTTAATATCCTAAGTCTATAAATATAGACACAGATACCAACGTGTCTCTACAAGTGATCAAGTTTTGATAATTTTAGTAGGAAATAGTATTATCGATGTTTCTAAATTAAAGCTCAAACGAGCGAAATCGCGGGTAAAAAAACTAGTTCTATAATAAAAACAACACATTGACCGCTGCGAGACGGATGTTCGTCATAATGTTCGTGTGACCTACATACCGGTATAGTGTTGCGTAAGCCCATTACTACGGTATGCAACTTCCTGATGGAAGATGAGACGATTTTAATTTCATCTGCAACTCTGCTGTGCTAGCTTTAAAACTTGCGATATCTCTTAAAGTAACCTCACCCCTTCTTACACCTCTCAGCAATTAGATAGTTTAAGTACTCCGGTACTGAATTCGGATAACCATCGTAGCCCAACTGTACGAACAATTCGAGCAGATCGATATACCGACAGTCAATGTTGGATTGCAACACCACCCAAATTTCAAATGAATCAAAGGGTTTCTCATAGTCCACATACACCTATGAGCAACACAGCCACCAGCGGATCGAAGGGAATTAGCCATATGCAGGCGTTCCCCTCTGTCAGAGTTTAAGGCCGGTTTTAGAGCTCGACCGACCGTCGGTGCGTACCATAGGCCTTGACGATACGCATAACCGATCGTCGGTTTGTAGCGTTCAGAACTCTCCTGAGCAACTAAACTAGCCAGACTGGTACAGTCACAAACACGTTCACGAAATGGACGCGTTTACAATTTGTTTAGTTGCTGCTTACTATGTACGTAAACGTGCACTTGGCCTTTGTCCCACAGAAGTTCGCGACGACGGACTTCGGTAAATAGGCGTTCGGTGTCGACATATGCCATGTTTGATTAAAATTACTTAAATCACTAACACTATTTATACCTATAAAATCATACAATATTATTGAAGTTAAGGTTCGATTTTGTTGACGATGATACACGCATCCGTACGGTCGGTCCACCGATTGGGTCGACCGACGGTACGCAGGCGGACGCGCTTGACCGACGGTCCTCGTACGCAGTGCGTAGCAATATACGGTCGGTCGAGCACTGTCACGACAAATTCATACAAATTTCATACAAATGGCAAGCGCGACCGACGTATGCACCGACGGTCGGTCGAGGTCTAAAACCGGCCTAAGTCCACGCGATCCTATGTGTACAATAAAACTAGTTGCAGCAACACTGCTCACTACACTATTTCGTCTTATTCATAAAAGTTAAAATAGGTTTATTAATCTAGTTGCGCGGTTGTATCGACCGATGTCGAATTGTTCAGTGTTTTGCAGCAAAAAGAGATCAACTCTTCAAATTTACAAAATAAATGCGTTACTTTTCATATATAAGTAATTTAAATCACATTGTAACCAATTTTTTTTTAATTTAATGATAATAATAATAATAATAAAAATCGTGTTGTTTCGGATTTCCTAGCCAACACAGGCCGATCGCCCTCATATAATATGCAGATCGATCGAGCGACTGATCCGAGTTTTCGCTGTCACCGAGCGATACTGTTATAAATTATAATGCTATGTGTGTGTCAAATCATTAGGTTATTGTTTTAATTTTTATGTTGAGATTCGTAGTGACAGACAATTGTTTGTAGATATAGCATGGAGTATAGAGGTACTCCATAAGATAAAGATTGTTTATAGATTTCCTTCCGCTAAATATGACAAACAGTTCTGTTATGATTGCTGCCCTCCAATCCGCCGGTGGCCTGTGTTGCTCTATCTAAACATTCACCAAACAAAGTGGCGTGGCAGATTATACTTCTCGGTCTTCTGTGCAGTTTACCAAAGGTTATGTGGTTTATGATGATCTTAAAGCCTTTGAAGTCGCTTCCGGGCCGCGCTCGCAGCCGGTCACGTCTGTTGGTCGTCGACTTCCGCCCGGGTGGGAGAAGTACAGCGCGTTGCTTCGCAATGGGTGCACATGCTGAGGGGCCAACTCGGCTTGCGTCGAGCCTCGAGGATGCCCCTGACCCCTCCCGGGACGTTACATACCCAACGCTACGTGTAATCTACTATGCTGGGAAGCGAACTCCGAAGGCCCGGCGTGCTGCTATGAGAGCGCGCGCCTGTTGGTAACTTTGGCTCCGCGTCGAGATGCGTCTTCGCGAGACCTGGAGGTCACTGACCCTTCGGCAGATCCCTTCCCAGAGACGCGAGATACGCCAACTTCTGCCTAGGAAACCACCAAGCCATAACCTAGAGCTAGGGAGGAGCACTGGAGGCCCGGAGTGCTGCTATCAGGAGCGCACACCTGTCGGCAGGATTGGCCCTGCGTCGACTCCTTGTCTGCGGGACTCCGCGGGGCTTCGAGACTGCTGACCCTCCGGAAGCACCTACCTATCGGCGCGCAATACGCCAAAGCAGATTACCTACTATGTCGTACAATGTACGGCTCCCAGGACCGGCCCATAGAAATGGGCTGTGAGGATTACCCGGGTAATGGGGAACACCCCGAGGCCCAAAACCTGCAAGGGATGAACAATAGTAGTCCCTTGTAGACGACAAACACTGCTTAAAGCCTTTTCGGTTACCTGTTTTTACCCGAGGAATTTTACATTTTATATAAATTAAAAAATTCCACTGGACACCGGTATAGATAGAGCACAAGCTAAGACTTTGATCTGATCACAGAACTGAAATACACAGTCAGCGTCAGGTAGCAAAATATTTGATGATTTCTCCTCATATCTACTACTATACTCTTGGGTTAAGGATTCAATCAAGGGGGATATCACTCTAAGAATTTTCTGTATCACTTATCAACTTTAATGCAAAAATTAAACCATAAAGCATAAATTGGAGTGTAGAGAGAAGTTCCTGGTAAATAAGGGTAGCGCCCGTAGACAGAGAATCCTAAATTTTAAAGAAATTTTTTACACAGACTCACCATAGCTCTTTTTACAATAATTATTTTATAGCATTCAAATTTTTTTTTCAAAACCACTCAACGTATGTATTTTACTGTGATTTATCATACCCTGTAGTTACTCGAGCGCTGTTGTGGGAGAGTTTTTGAACTGTTATTTACTGCTTACAGATGGAAACATTTTCTAACTATTCTCAAGGCTCAGAAGGGCTTGTACCCAGAGCCGTAAAGCCACTTAAATAAAAAAAGGAATGCAAACGTTTCGTTTCGGGTCTGTGATTTCTTATTTACATAATACATTTTTTACTTTTATTTTGTTTCTTTTTATTTATCTATTTGATGTAATAAATTAAATAATTTATTTCTGTATCACGATGAATTTTAAAATAACCCGTTAGTTAATTTTTAAATAAAATTGAGAATTTCAAAACGTTTTTTGATTGGACGCAAAGAACCTATGCGTAGAAAGAGACAAATCTTTATTGTTTATTCCCATGTGGTGTTAAAAAATGGACGCGCACATGATGCTGTGAGGTTTTAAAAATGTTTTCTTTACGTATTATTGTGCGTTAAACATTGAAAACAAAAGTAATTTGTGTACAAGTGTCGAGTGAAAATGACAGAAATGCCTCCTTATCTCGCTGTTAAAGATGAGGAAAAAAATAGTGGGCAGACAGATAGCGAGTGTTCGGACTCTGAGGACGATTTGCCTCTAAGTTTTAATAAACCAAGACATATTGAACCCATAAAAGGCGCTGAACGCCAGGACCACTCGTGGAGAGTGAAGGAAAAGGTAATATCTTAATATTTTCTACGTTAAAAGTTCGCAATATAAAATTGCGTATAATTTGCTGAAGGACACGTTATAATAAAAACAAACGCACATGGGAAGTTGAGTTTATAATACATCATTTTAAGTACAGATACGTTAATTGATTAAAATTCATATTTCAGTGCAACTTGTCTTTTAAAGTAATAAAAATGTCAAAATATTATTTATTTTATAAATAAAATGATGAAAACCATAAAATATAAACAGGACATGATAGTTTACTTGTGTAGTACATATATAAAGACTTGCCAAGATTAATAATGAATTGAATGTTTTCCTACTTCTTCTATCTTACGGATAAAGATATTATATGTATTTTATATTAGATTTTAGATTTATTCCTAGTTCATAGGCTTCTTCCCAAAACTCTAAGCCCAAAATAGCAGTTATCTAAATGTATATCTATTTACATAAGTTGAATTCATCCACAAAAATAAATGGCTTTGTTACAGGTAATGTCCAAAGAAGAAATAAATCTTGGTTTACCCAGTGGCTCTGATAAAATCCAAATAATAATTAAAATAACTGATTTCTTTTAAATTTCGTCTAAAATACAAAAGCATATTATATTGAGTAATATCTGCAATAGTAGTAGGTCAAGGTTATGAATATTATTTTATTTTTAAACTATTTGGATTTTACCCAATCCTCTTGGTAAATTTAGATTTAATATTTTTTCAGGTTTTACCTGTAACATTATTTATAAATCATTGTGTGGATCATTGTGGTCATTGCGTATAATTTTATTACTCAAGTATACTATTCAGTTTTAATATTTTTTATTTAAAGATTTATGGTGTAATGACCTTTGTACTGGACATTCATTTGCAAAATTTGTTTTCTATCATGTTTAGCAACATCGAATAAATAGAAAAAACTTAGCTGTTTATATGTTGTTATATTAGGTCATAATTTGTAAAGTATGAAAAAAATTGTTTTCTGCCTTTTTAACTAGTATTATATTATGAGCAAGTGGTTGACTACTATTTCACCTGAGGGTGAGTGGTGATGCTGCCGATGATGGTAATGCACTCAGCTTTTTGACAGCCTATTTAATTTTGTCTGGGAGACACTTACATTGTAATTGAATGAAAATGCTGGATTCTACTCCTTTGTTCCATGTTTCTGATACTAGAGCAAAGTCTACCTCAAACTTATTGTGCATTGTATAATGAGCATGCACATAGAACAATTGTTTTTTCAGGATTGAATATCTTTTGGGTTTTTTGCCAGCTATAATAATGTCCTCCAGATCAAATTTCTGTCATAACGGCCAGTCTCAACAAAGACAGGCCATGTGTGCAGGACAGGATCAAAGTGCAAGCACAGGTGTACTCTATTCCATCAATTTCATAGACTATATGGGCGGCAATTCAACATAACCAGAGAGAAATCAGGCATTACCATTTTACATGCTTCCTATGGCATGGTGGGTGAAACACTGTCAATTTCTTGACTCTGAGTTGCTAATTTAGAATTTTTTGAAAGAAGAACCTAATAACTGACTGATTTAATCAATGTAGCAGTCAAATCGTTGGATCCTCAAAAATCGTAATAATACTATAGAAGTCACATAGACGCATGATTTTGTCGCCGCTTATATGGGTTGACGAACATAATTCACCATTTTGTGATTTAGTTGTGCAGGGAATGTGATACGTGAATTTTTGTTATTATAAATTTATAATGGTGCACTGCAGCATAATCAGTTGTAAAAACTCATCAAGAATGTGTAATTAAACTAATAAAGGCATAACATTTCATCGATTATTTACTATTATGTTTTAATTAATTTACATCTAGACGAATACTTTACTATGACATTTACCTTTGCAAACTCATTTATTACTTTTCATATTGTACAATTACCATTGCTGCTTTTGTTCTATCGTAATATGCGACGTTGACAAACTCACCAAGCAATTTAATGTGAAACATTAGATATAATTGTGCATTGTGTATGTTTATAATACGGTATGATATGGCGACATCGGTTTTGAAAGTAATTGAGCGCTAATTCATTTCTATTGTCTTATTATTACGATTTCTGTGGTTGAATCTTATACAAGTAGCATATTCTTAAAAAGTGTGCATCCACCATATAGTGCACTAGCTATCCACCCCGGCTGATTTTTTTATCATGACAACATATGCATGTATATAATACATATAAACCTTCTTGAATCATTCTGTTTTAAAAGATCTAAGTGTACAGATGGTGGAAAACAACTTTGTATTACACTATGTGGAGAAGACTAGTTAAGTGATTTCTGGTTCAACAAAGATTTAGAACTACACCTTCAGAATAGTGCTTTAACTAAACAAATTAGTTTTTCCAATTAGATTTTGATTCATTAATTGTGACGCAAAATTAAAAATGTGTGGGTGTAGCTCGCTTGAGGGCAGTTGGCCAAATAATAATCAGGGTAATGCCTTCAGATTTCTCATACAAAACTTGAAATGAAATGAAGATTTATTTGCTTTGAAAAAGGGTACATTAAGGTGGTTATTGTAAAGTGTAGTTCAGCTTTTTCAGCCATCTATGGATAGCATGCAAATACATTTTTTATAATTAAGTTTACTATATTAAAATATCGAATTCAATTAAAATATTCATCGTTTACGAATTACTAATACCAATACATACACGCTTATACTTATGTTGAAGCTGGCCAATAGCTTAGCCAGCCGATGAATTTAGCCTCCATACATACTGTTAGCACTGTTGCAAAAGACTGTAGCCTTCTTATCATTATTGTTAGTAGTCTGTGTAGTGGTGACACAAGAAAATCCACCGCATCATCATCTATCTGTGGGTGTCATATGGGCAAAAAAGGGAGACTGAAACTGTAGATGGGCAGCAGTATCATTCTGATAACAATTCAAAATAATAAAAGTAACTACAGTAAAAAAAGGTAATTGGCAAGCAGTGTAATAACTGCAGTTACTACACTGCTTGCCAAGCATACCGTCTATGACAAATATCCTGTTTATGGGGCAATCTATGGAGGCCTATGTTCAGCAGTGGGCTTTTGATAGGCTGTAAGGATAGTATACTACAAAATAATATAATGGAAGGGCCCATTTGGCAAGAGGAGTGTAGGTCGGCAAAGAAAAAGATGGGTGGATGACATTATTAACATAATAGGAGAAGAATGGATGCAAATTGCCAAAAACTGCAAAGAGTGGTTCAAATTGGAGGAGGCATTTACCCAAAAGGGACTTCATAAACCAACAAATACTTTCTCATAGTTCTATGTATCTGTTTATTTTTTTGTTAACTCTGTAGTAGTTTGTAAATGTGTAGAGAAATAAAGCTTTATTATAATTATTATTAAGAATGGTATAATAAACATTGTATACTTATAACTCTGCATTGTTTTGATCATTCAGTACAAGACACATTGCGTTGCATTGGTCCTGTGTCTCAATGTGGGTGTTGATCCTCCAGATGTGGTGAAAACTCAGCCTTGTGCAAGACTTGAATGCTGGATTGGTAAGTTATTTCTTCATCTTCAGTATTTGATTAATGGATGCTTATTAAAAATGTTAAAATTAATTGGCTTAGATCTGTAATCAAGTAAAATTATGTGTTGTAACAAGTTTAAAGAACACCTTCTGCCCTCACTCATTGTGTTCACTATCCCCATCACTACTACACTATGAAAGGCACAATCTTAACAGTCAGCCACTGAAGCTTCTATTTTATCTGATGACGACTTGTTTAGAGACAAAATACTTGGTGTCTATTGACTGTGGTGTATCCATGTGACCAATAACTTAAAATAATAATCCCTCTTATTGCAGAAGTTGTTTTATTTTTAAAAGTTTTTTATTGATATTCTTGAGTTTTAACGAGTTTTAACTTTGGTTTAATAATAGTTCTTGTACCATGGAAAAATACCCGCAAGAAGGATAAAACAAAATACCTTAATAGGCGGACATCTTTGCTTGTGGGTTTTGAGGGGAAAAACACTATAGCAGATCAATCACTTTTAGAAGAACAGGTAACAGCTAACTATAATAATAATAACCTTGGATACGGCAGACTGCCGTATCATAGGCGCCAAGGTTTCCACGGCTGGACGCGCTACTGGCCAAAGTAGCACTATCCCAGCATGGAGAAGAGGAATTGAGGAACGTATCGCAAATGCTAGAGCTCTCATCGGCAGACTGATATGCTTCAGATCAGGCAATAACAGGCCAAGAATTGTGCGCACCGTCAGGATGGCGTTTGCTGGGACAAATGTCAGTTTGTCCCAGCTGGATATAACACAAAAACTGACGGAGCGCATAGATGATCTGAAGCAGAGAATTGCTGCTTGGGGGAAGCAGATTCGGCGATATACCGAGAGGTCGACACGGTTAAACCAGAATCGTCTCTTCCAGAGTGATCAGAAGAGGCTCTATGAATCATTGGAGCGACCAATGGTAGGTGGAACGGACCCAGCACCGAATCAGGCCGACACGGTCGCATTCTGGCGCGGCCTTGTGGTCAGAGCTCGTAAACCACAGCGAGGGCCCTTGGACGGAAGTTGTGGCGAGTCAGTGTACGAGTATAACGCCCATGGACCCCGTCATTATAACACCGGATGACGTAGCTGAGGCGGACTGTAGGCCCCGAACTGGAAAAGTCCGGGACTTGACGGGCTGCATCACTACTGGCTGAAGGGGTTCGTGGTGTGTCACACTGTGCTCGCCCGACAGTTTCAAGAGGTTCACTACTGGGATCACCCATTTGGTTCCTAAAGACCAGGGTACCACAGACCCGAGCAAATACCGCCCCATCACGTGTCTACCGACCACAAGACACTAACATCCATTTTGAGCGCGAGAATCACTCGTCACCTGGACTCAAATCAGGTGATGTCGCGCGCTCAAAATGGATGTCGGGGCGGTGGTCGTGGAACCAAGGAACCACTCCTCATTGACGCGGTCATTGGTGAAACGCAACCGTCGGAACTTCTCCGCCGCCTGGGTAGACTACAGAAAGGCATTCGACTCGGTGCCCCACACATGGCTAAAGAGAATCCTCGAGCTCTACAAGATAGACTGTAAAGTTAGAGACTTCCTCGAGCAGTGTATGGGGCAGTGGAGTACGATCCTTTGTCATCTGGGCGAGCGGATGATGGCTGCGGAGAACCACATAAGGATAAGAAGGGGTATCTTTCAGGGCGATTGTCTGAGTCCAATCTGGTTCTGCCTCTCTCTGAACCCTCTCAGTACCTTACTGGAGGGCTCCGGGAGGGGATTTCAGCTATGGAAAGGAGGGACAAAAGTGACCCACCTTTTCTATATGGATGACCTCAAGTTATTCCGCCTCCAGTCGCTCCCATCTTATGGAATTGCTAAATATCACTTGTGAATTTAGCAATTCCATTGGAATGGAGCTGGGGACGGATAAGTGTGCGGTCCTCCATGTTGAAAGGGGAAGGGTTGCTAACTCTGAGGGCATAGACTTATCTATACCCGTCAACTTAAGAACCCTTTCTGAGGATGAAACATACCGATACCTGGGTATGTCACAGAACATCGGTATCGATGAGGCTGGTATGAAACAGTCAGTTTGCGACGTGTTTTATGCACGCTTGACCAAAGTGCTTAACAGCCTTTTGTCTGGTGTGAATAAGGCACACGCATATAATGGCTGGGTCATGCCTGTCCTCATGTATACCTTTGGCAAACTCAGGTGGACTCAGACTGAACTTAACACCCTGGATAGTAAATTCCGCACTACCATGACGTGCCATAGGATGCATCATCCGAGATTGTCGGTAATGAGGCTGTACTTGCCGCGAAAGCATGGTGGGCGTGGCTTCTTGAGCGCGCTCACCATGCATAATCGCGAAGTGTGCAGCCTCCGTGATTACTTTCTGGCGAGATCGGATGGTCCATTCTATAAGGACTTCAATTTTTGTGATAATAAAGGACTTACCCCTCTATCCTTAGCCAACGAGCAATGGCAAGACCTGGCAGTGCAGAGCATTTTCGACCGGGAGACCGTATGGAAGGAGAGGGAGCTCCACGGGAGGTTCTACAAGGCTCTACATGAGGCTTTCGTAGACATAGTAGCCTCCCTCCACTGGCTACGCTTTGGTGATCTCTTCGGGGAATCTTCTGTGCAATACAGGATCAGGTTATTAAGACCAACAACTATCGGAGATACATCCTAAAGGATGGCACCGTCGACATCTGTCGAGCTTGTCGCCATCCCGGTGAGTCACTTAGGCATGTCATCTCCGGTTGTTCGGTGCTTTCTAACTCTGAGTACTTGCACAGACACAACCTAGTAGCTAGAATTCTACACCAGGAGCTCGCTCTGAAATACTATCTCGTGGACCTGAAATTGCCGTATTACAAGTACTTGCCGGAAGCCGTGCTCGAAAATGACTGCGCCAGGCTCTAGTGGGACCGGGCCATCATCACAGACAGGACTATTCTTGCGAATAAGCCTGATATTGTGCTGATGGACTGGGCACAGTCAAGGATATTTTTGGTCGATATTACCATCCCATATGACGAGAACCTCGTGAAAGCCGAAACAGATAAGCAGTCAAAATATCTGGACATGGCTCACGAGGTGACCGACATGTGGGTTGGTCTGCCGATCGAAATTATTCCTGTAGTCGTCTCTGCGAATGGGCTAATCCCAGTTAGCCTCTGGTCATCTGAGGCGACTGGGACTCCGTGGCGGACCGCTCCAGGCTCAAATGCAGAAGGCGGTGCTCCTCGATACCGCCCGCATCGTCCGCCGGTTTCTTTCCCTTTCCCCCTAACCCTCGGCCGTTTGGTCTCCCCTGCCGAGGGCCTCCATCTGGTTGGGCTTTTATTTATTTATGTACTTTTATATTTATTTTATGTTATTGATATTTATGTATATTTATCTTTTCATTTTCATTTATAATTATATATTTATAGAACCCAACCAGATGAGGAAACTATATAGATACCCCTCAATAATAATAATAATAATAATAAAACATTTATTCATTACCACCAATAAAATTACAGTAAGCAGTACACACAGAAATAACCATAATTACATAGTGTAGTAATGAATAGGCTGTAGCTCAGCATAAATGTTGCAGTCGCCCACAATGCTGTTATTCTGCCAGCGCCCAACAAATGAAGAGTACATTGCGCGCGCATCCCTGCTTTATTACATTTAATCACAACTGTTCATATTACAGTACATCTCGTGGTTTCCCAAGTATTAGCGAGTATTAGCCAGTTCAAATTAGTAATTAAGAAATATTTTTAATATAAAAATAGAAATATTTCCATAAAATTTATATTTTTAATAATTATTACAACAATACAACTAACAGTAACAACAAAGTATTAAATAATATTTATTTTGAATAAAACTAAATTTACGGATTCTATCGCGTTTATTTAACTGATTTTACTTATTTTTAATTCCCGACGTTTCGGGTGCTTTACAGCAACCATGGTCACGGGGGGGACTGAGATGTTTGACGTCCTAATGTCATTGTTAGCCCGGCTACCTTCAGTTTTTGAATATTAATTTTTGGTCCGATTTACGCAAAACGAACTTACAGTATCTTGAAGTCTTGCAGTGGTATGCTTGGGTTTGGGTTTAATTTTGTTAATTATAGGATCCCAAGCAGATGGCAGCACCCAACCATCTTCTCTATTGAAATTAGGATGTTTTTTAATTTCAATAGCCTCGCGTATCATCCTTGGTAAGAATCGGTGTTCTTTTGCGAGGATTTGTGGTTTAACAAATCTGATGTAATGGTGGGGACGATCTTGAACATGTTCATAGACTGCAGACTTCCCGGAGCGTCGGTGCTTCACGTCAGCTATATGTTCTTTCACGCGGGTTTTTATGGATCCGTAAATTTAGTTTTATTCAATGTGTAGTGTTGGAGTCAATTCAAGAAATCATAATATTTATTTTACTGATCCTAATTTATTTGTGCTTATAAGTTTACTACGCCTACTGGCAATGTTTATTTATTTTCACAATTCGATTATGACAGTAATTGTAAGCTTAGTAAGTGACGTCTATAATTCTTTTTAAAACTGGTTTTATTTGTCATAGTGCGTAGTGGTGGTCATTCCAACACTTAGTTGCCATATACTTAAAACTACCCGGAAAGCCGATGTTTTGTGTTTAGGGGACGCAAAAAACTTTAGAGCATAGTCGAATTTTATATAAATGTTGGTCATTTCTCCAGTTAAGTTTTTGTATAAATATTCTGGGTTCTTTGTATTTAATACGCCAAATTGCAAGGGAGCATAAAAAAGTTCGAGACGCCCCTGCATTTTTAATATATTCGAAGCATTAAGATATGACGTGACATGAGATCGTCTCAGTATGTAAAAACGATAACGTGCACAAGCATTCTGTACCCTATAGATTAATTTTTGAGATTTCTTAAGCTCTTACTAAAGCCATGATGGATAGCTACCATGAAGCATGTCCAGAAACCACTCTACCAAGGCTTGCTGAAGAAAAGCAACCGTGGTAGGGTAAAGAACTAGATAGAAAATGTAAGAAGGTAAGAAAAGCCTTAAATAGGGCAATTAACACCTCAATGGATGAAGACTGGCTACTATACAAGAAAGCTAAGTCTGAGTACAAAAAATGTATTAGGTATCGAAGTTCAACAGGATGATGTATATTCTGTAGTAACATAGAAACCTGTGAACAAGCAAATCAGATAAGGAAAATCTTAGCTAAACGGAATACGCCGGGATCCATCTTTTAAAATAAACTGGATGGAAGCTACTCAACATTTCCGGATGAAACCCAACACATCCTAATTGAAACACACTTTCCAGGTTGCTATGTAACTCAGGGGGTAAACTAGCATGAAGATATATTGACACTATCAGCAGAAGAATTTTAATTTAGCACAGAGAATAATAATGATGGATAAAATCCATTGGGTCATTCACAGTTTCCTCCCTCTCCCTATAAGGCGGCAAGACCTGACGGCATATTCCCAACACTCCTACAGTGGTAAAGCCGTAATAGTCAGGCTGGTTGCCATAATGAGAGCATGTCTGGCTTTTAAATATGTTCTTAGGGAATGGAGGGAAGTGAAAGTTACATTCATACCCAAACCAGGTATGAGCGAATATATGGACCCTAAATTCTATAGGTGCATTAGCTTCACATGCTTTCTTCTACGAAAGGGAATTAAGGGGGTCGGCGCTTATAAACTTACCGCTACACGACAAACAACACACCTACAGCTTATGAAAATCGACAGAATCTGCAATTCTCCAGGTAATAACAAGGATTGAAGGGAACATCCAAAACAAATAAAATGTCTAGGTTCCTTCATAGATATAGAAGGTGCTTTTGACGGAATGAAATTCTCCAGCACAAAAAAATGCATTAAGTAGACAAAGCTGAACCGGCACTAATTGACTAGATAGTAAACATGCTCAGTACACAAACAATAAAGATTGCCTGGTGAATGTCAAACAATCCAGATCAAGAAAGGCTGCCTGGGGTTCTTTCATGATTGGCAAATGATATGGGGTATGACGCCAAAAATTATACTGTGGCACAAAATCGTGATTCATCCCATGATCACATATGGTGCTCTGACATGGTGGACCAAAACATGAAGCCACCTCTATACAAAAGCTTCAGCGTTATCAGAGACTGGCATGTATGGCTGCCACAGGCTGCATAAAAACTACACCAACAGCAACCTTGAGGCTATCCTGGAGCTAATCCTGCTTCATCTACACATACAATAAGAAGCAACTTCAGCAGCCATTGGACTCAAGAAACTAAATCTATGGAGTAAGTGTAGAGTCCTACAGATTCTAGTTTGCATCTGAGATTAAGTATAAACCACTTTTGTAATAAGGCTGAATATCTTTTTGTTGTATGTTTGCTGGGCAATTAACAAGTTTCAACAGTCAGACAACTATTTTAAGGGAATTACATACTAGTCCACAAATAAAATGTTTTGTTTAAGAAGGACATGGTTTACGGTGAAAACGCAGGTGGGCCGATTTTTTTGTGACTAGTATATTTATTGTGATACATGAATTGCCAGATTCTGCAAAGTTATTAACAGATACAGCGATCAAATCGAAACTTTGACTCACCCGGAATATTCTCTAAGTGTCTCTGTTAATGTGTAAGTTTATAGCGTAAATTAATATAGATTTTAGTTTTTTTTTTTAAATTAATGTCGCACTATTCTTACTAATAGTATAGGTATATTTAAGTGAATGGAAGAGTCGGAAGGAGACATCCTAAGCGAAAGTTTGACCAAATTGGCGATATATTGAAAATGGGCCAAATTAGTAGTACCCTTAACCGACGAGCATGTATTGTAGGTATATAAATGTGGAGGAGGCGAGAGAGGTGTGTCAGGTTCGTGCCAAATGGAAGTCTGTAATCTCTGCCCACCCCCTGGGTGACAGGCGTGAGTGGTTATGTTATATATTTAAATATATATATATACATATATATATATATATATATATATATTTATATTTAAATTTAGTTGGGGAATAATTTATTGTTCTTTCAGTTTATGTTTTTATAAAGTTATATGCATGCAGAGTTTACCTTTAGGTAATTGTAGCATTTTTGTTAATACTTTTACATAATTGTACTAATTTGATGTGTTAGTGTTTACAATTGTTGGTAAACCTAATAAAGAGAAAAAAATTACCATGTAGTGGCTGTGTAAGAATATCCACTACCCCATATCGTCTCTTGAGGCCTATGTTCAGTAGTGGCCTTTAATAGACTGTAATGGTAATGTACATAATGCAAGATAATAATATGTGGGCTAATGTACACCCTTCCGATTTTCTAGGAATTTTGTCCTTTAATTCTAAGACGGTTAGGTGATGTACTTTATGCTGTAGATCCGAACTCGCTGTCGCCGAGTAAGGCGCTAGAGAGCATCGGCCACGCGCTACAGACTCAGTACGAGCGATGGCAGCCCCGAGCACGATACAAGCAATCGCTCGACCCCACAAGTGATGAGGTGCGTTTTTTTAAACACGCTTTTATTAGCTTCGCGTGTATCAATCTACGTAACGGAATCTTATAATGTAATTTTTATCAACTTCGCTTGGGTGATTTATGGATCTCGACAACAGCGCCAGCCACAGGTTCCAAATGTAAATCTAAACCATCTTCATCATCATCAGGAAGCCACTCAAACACATCAAAAAATTTCATCAAATTCGATCCAGCCATTTTCAAGTTATTGCGAGACTAACATACAGCAATTGACTTTAAGTAGTGAAAAGGATGATAAACGAGCACACACGCACACGTTACGTGGTGGAGCCATGCTGCAGTTATATTAATAGTATAGTTATAGCACGAATAGGTCGGCTCGACCGGGGAAGGACCACGCTCACACAGAATACCAGCGTGAAATAGTAGCTTAATGTTGCTGTGTTTCGTATGGTGAGTAAAGAGAACTGGAGACCCTTTTTTACTGGAAACGAGGTATTCTATCTTGGTCCTAACGGGTGACGGCGCATCTGCATTTTGATTCGTAATCGAGGACAGATGTAGATGTCTATGGGCCACAGCAACCACTTACCATCAGGTTGACTGTTTGCTCGTTTGTCACCCTATACTATATAAAAAAAACACTCCTCCTGATGGTAAATTATATATATAATAAAAAATTTACACAAACATTTAATCTATGGGTTACCATGTCTCTAGGTAAATTTTTAAAAATGGATAATATAAGGTAGTGTGAAATTATATGTGACACAATAAATTGCTCACAAAAATGCAAAAATGGCGTGACGTCGGTAATTCAGACAAATTAGTCTAATTAGTTCAATGGGGCTTGGCCGCCGCGGCCTCGCGGTTATTGTTCCCGACACTCACCCACATGTGCTGTTTGCACCCACACTATTATCTGCCTAAAAAGTAAAAAAATAAACAAATTGACTCATCATCAGGTTCGCCGGCTTTATTAAGTAGAGTATTTGAGTATTGTAGAGCTACGTTGCGGTTACATTGCTGCAACTCGAATGTGTCGACTCGACTCTGGTGGGACCACACTCTCAAGGAAGACTAGTGTAACAGTAGAATAATTCTATGTTTCATATAGTAAGTGTAGTCCTCAGAGGCGACGTAACGCATCTGAATTTCGATTCTTAATAGAAGATACACGTAGATGTCTGTGGGCTACAATATCCACATACATCAGGTGGACTGTGAGCTTGCTTGTCACCCGTATTCTATATAATATTACAACTGTCATGCATATTTTCTTTATCTTCTTCATCATTAGTTTGTCTGATGATGCAGAAGCCTCTTAGTCTTTTTTATATTTTTAGTTCCACGACAAATTTTACACTAAAAACAGTTATATAAACTAAGGATTTGCCTCACACACACTACATTTAGCAGGTGAATTAGTGCATTTGCTATACTATGTTTGTTTTAAATTTATTTCAGGATTCGTTTTTTTTATAGGATAGGGTGACAAACGAGCACGCAGTCCACCTGATGGTAAGTCGTTGGTGTGGCCCATAGACACCTACACATCTTTCCTCATTACGAATTAAAATGCAGATGCGTTGTCACCTGTGAGCACTAAGATAGAATGCCTCATTTCCAGTAAAAAGGTCTCCGGTTCTCTACATTCACTATATAAAACACAGGAGCATTAAGCTACTATTTTACGCTGGTATTCTGTGAGAGCGTGGTCCTTCCCTGGTCGAGCCGACCCATTAGTACTAGAACTATAGTACTAATATAACTGCAGCATGGCTCTACCACGTAAATAACACAATAATGGAATTAGATGTGCTATCCATTAATTAATATATTTATCCAGTTTATATTATTTAAATCTTTAAACAAATGTAAAACGACACATCGTCACACCTTATACACTGCTTCACATCCCCCATTTCGAAATCTTATGACTGACGTAAACGTGATGGTTATACTGATATCTATCGGTAGCCTATTTTTTTTACTTGTGCCAGCAGCTATGCAAGTCTAATAGGATTAGTGTTACTGCAGTCAGTAAGATCTAATGTGATCACTGCTACAGCTATAGAATATTTAAGAAACGGCGGCCTACGTGTTGCTGACATGTCCGGAGGTCACTGCATATATGGCTAAATATCTCGACTCGCCAGGATCACTCCCCGAAGTTGCTTCAAAAAGAACAAAGCATTGTTATACTTCTTCAGGGAGATTTCATGGCTTGAAACAGAAACAGAAACTTTTTTTATTCAATGTAGATTATAACAATACTTATTGAAAGTCACTTTTTTCATTTACCACTGGTTCGCAAAAAAAAACCTCTGTCCTGGGAAGAACCAGCAAGAAACCCAGCGGGACTATTTTTTTTTTCCAATAATAGCTTACAATTATGTTTACAATTAACAACACAAGACAAATTAGAAATAGCTTGGTAGCGATCACCCTTCCCAGGGGTTATTATCATCCATAAATTCCTTAATATTATAATAACCCTTTTTATACAAACTTAGTTTAATAACATTTTTGAACTTCGTGTATGACAAATTTTGTATATTTTCTGGGATTTTGTTGTAAAAGCGTATACATCGCCCCAAGAATGAATTACTGACTCGGTGGAGTCGAGTAACTGGTACTACTAGCTTGTGTCTGTTCCTAGTATTTATAGAATGAATATCACTTATTTTCGCAAAACTACTTTTATTTTTGTGTACGTACATTACATTTTCATAAATGTATTGAGAGGCCAGAGTTAATATATTAATTTCCTTAAATTTTTGTCTCAGTGACTCTTTTGGTTTTAAACTATATATTGCTCTAATGGCCCTCTTCTGTAAAATAAATATAATTTCAGTGTCAGTCGCGTGTCCAAGCAACATACCATACGCATAATGCTATGGAAATAACTAAAGTAAACTATTCTAGCTGTTTCAACACTGGTAAGAGTTCTAATCTTTTTCACAGCATATGCTGCAGAACTAAGTCTGCTAGCTAGTTTTGATATATTGAATAATCACATTATTCCTGCCACGCAAAATACGGGCTTAGGCGTGAAGTTGCGGAAAATAGCCCGTCGCAATCTATTCTAATCTAATCTAATGGTTACAGTTCACTGCTAAGGCCTAATCGGTAGCCTATTTTTGTTTTTTAACATTTCCAGTAGTCGCCTCTTACCACACCGCCAACTAAAAGAGAGGTACCATTGATTCCCTAATACTACAGGCAGAAATTTCTGTTAACTACTGTTACTAATGTACTGTGATTTACCACATGCTCGACGGTGAAGAAAAACATTGTGAGAAAACCTGCATGTCCGAGCATTTATAAAAATAATTTGAAAGAATATTTAACGCCATACATTGTGGCAGCGGAATGCATACTTCCTTGACCTAAAACCTTCTCAGATATGGAAAAAGGCCTGTGCCCAGGAGTGGGATGTATTACGGCTTTAGTAACATATTAATAATACTCTTCAATTAATTTTGAATTTGTAGAATACATTGGACTAAATTGTTAAAGATTTCAAGATAAATTTTTTTCAATTTACAAAATTTGAAATTTCATTTAATGGGTACCATAAAAGCCCTTTATTTTTCATAACAATAGAGAACAGTTTTACTTTTTATTTTATTTATAATGTTTTTGAGATATTTTTATGCTAATCCAAATTAATAAAATTCACTCAATAATAATAATACAAATTCTTATTTATTTGTTTTTAATTATTTTGTTTTCTGGACTATTTTTGATTTCCCTAGGTTGTTTATGAATTAAAGTTATATTGTTACATTGTGTGAGCATTGTGTGAGTGCACAAAACATATAATTCAACGCTATATTTACGAGTATGGTCAGTTATGTAAGATAATATGCAATAAGATGCACTATTAGAAGACACAACGACATTCTGTGGGGTGTTCCTTTACCTCCTAGCCACTAACTACGTGTTAGTCAAGATGTCTAAGTGATGATCATGTTTCAGATCAAGAAACTGTGCTGTTCCTTACGCCGTAACGCCAAGGATGAGCGTGTACTTTTTCATTACAATGGGCATGGGGTGCCAAAGCCCACGTCGCAAGGAGAAATATGGGTCTTCAACAGGGTGAGTAACTATATTGTCTTATAGTTGATTTATAAATCTATGGGTGCAATCAAATTTTTTCAGATCTATTACAATTAATCCCATAAATGTGGGGGTACACATTTATTTTTTATGTAAAAAAGTTGAAGTTGTGAAGATGAAAAATGAATAAACATCGGTAAAATGAATTACGTAATTAATTAACATTTTTTAGTACAATCTATACCTACTACGAATTAATATAATATAACGAATTAAGTATTATGTCTATATACAGGAATAGGTAACATTTTGTATCTTATGATGTTAATTTAATATTATATATAGTTTTGAAGGAATATTACAACATACAAAACATATCCATTCCAATTTATGTTGAACCAGTTTTCTGTTGGAGTGATAACATCTTTAGTATCATTGAGCCGCATGTTTGTTTGCCCCTCCTCATATATAAAAGAACACTAAATTTTAGGTAGTAATTTTAAAATCAATTGAATATATTATACTGTTGGATGATTAAAGTGTTTTATTTTTTAGTGTTATGTATTAGGTGGGTATGGAGAGGGAGGGGGAACTTTTCTTGATGATAGTATTGTAAAGGGTGAGAGTGGGAAGTAGATTTGGAGAAAGCGAAGTTCGGAGGGGTGAATGTGTGTTAATTTAGTTTTTAGTTTATTGGTGTAAATAAATAAAGTGTAATAGGTATTTGGAGCTCGTAGTACAATACATTGTTATTACTATGCACTTGGCTCAGTGATAGTGAGATTGTGATTGTAAGCGAATGATTGCTCGCAGGCATACACGCAGTACATCCCGCTGTCGATGTACGACCTGCAGACGTGGATGGGCGCGCCCTCGCTGTACGTGTACGACTGCTCCAACGCGGGCGTCATCGTCGACAACTTCAAGCAGTTCGCAGAGCAACACGAACGTGATTATGAGGTATGTGAAACAGCCGAGTCTCTGCAAAAATAGAAGAATTTAGCACCAATTGAAGATGACGTCAGAAAAATGGAAGGTATAGGCTGCAGTATTATGGGTGTAGCACGACGTACTCTCACAGAATACCAGCATAAAATAGCGTAGAAAACCGGAAACCCTTTTAACTGGAAACGAGGCATTCCGTTTTATTCATCAGGGGTGACAACGCATCTGCATTTTGATTTTTAATGGAGGATAAATGTAAATGTCCATAGGTTGAAGCATCCATTTACTATCACGTGTATTGTATGCTCGTTTGTCACCTCTATTCAAATATATGCTCGTAAAAGATTTAGATAGAAAACATAGCGCTAGGTTTTATATTAAGATTATCAGCAGATTTTAAAAGTATAAAAAACTTTCAAAATTCTTTACTTATTGTACGCAGCCACTTGGAATATGCCTCTGAAATTTGGAATCCTAAATATAATGTATACGTTGATAGGATAGAGTGCATACAAAAAAGATTTTTGTGTTCAATTTAAATCAAAAAAGTTTATATCCAACTATACTCTTCGATGTAAAAAATTTCATATCTTACCTTTATATGAGCGAAGAAATATTGCAGATATCTCTTTCCTCTTTAAAATTGTTAATGGTGGTGTTGATTGCCCTGAATTACCGGGTAAAATAGGTTTATGTACCTCATCATCTAGCTTGCGGAATCCTACACTTTTATCGGTACCATGCATAAAAAGTAATTATAGACAAAACTCTTTTATTATTCAATCATGCAGATCTTTTAATGCTACAGCACATATTCACAACGTGTATATTGACTTATTTCTTTCCAGCGTTCTCCAACTTAGGCGTTCACTTTCTAACAACTTCTTTTCTTTTCGATAAGTGTACTGTTACTTGCCATATACTTGTACATATCTCTTTTGACATAATCTTGTTATTATAAAGTATTATATAAGTTAAAAACTTGTAAAAACCATTTTTGTTATAATTATATTATTTTTTTAATTAGCTGTAAGTTTTCCATGCAAATAAAAAATAAAAATAAAATAAAAGAAATTCTAACACCTATAAAACGCTGTATACTTAAGACGATAGGTTTTTTGTCTTATGTGGTGATTGACGATTCTAGGATACGGGATATTTTGATTTATGTGTCTTGCAACTAAGTTTGATGATTTTTTGTTTTTATATATATATATTTTTTTTTTTTTGCTGTGGTTTGTTACAAACTGTGGTCTAACTTTAGTTCGTTCCTTAAAGTTGAGTGGAGACTATTTTAGTGCATATAAATTATTTTTTGTATATATTTTTTTTTCAAATATTAAATGTAATGTTTTTATGTATCAATTATTATAGGTATTTCAGAACTTAGGCCAAATCTGAATGTAGTGGTATATAAATGTTTGTTGTATAGATGCAGGCGAGCGCCGGCGCCGGTGGTGGGGCTGGTAGTGGCGAGGGCGCCGCCGTGTCGTACAAGAACTGCATCCAGCTGGCGGCGTGCGCGGCGGGCCAGAGCCTGCCGATGAGCCCCGAGCTGCCGGCGGACCTGTTCACCGCGTGCCTCACCACGCCCGTCAAGATGGCCATGAAGTGGTTCGTGCTGCGCAGCCGAGTGCGCGTCGCGCGCCAGGACCTCATCGACCTCATCGACAAGTGAGTGCGCGCGCACACACACGCACAAACCGTGACGACTTCATCTACAATCTACATCATCTATGACAAATATTCTCCCTCCAACACAACCTGTGTTTAGGTTTACACTGCCCGAAAGTGTATGTATTTTTTTTATAGGATAGAGTGACCAACGAGCTCACAGTCCACCTGATGGTAAGTGGTTGCTGTGGCCCATAGACATCTACATCTATCCTCGATTACGAATCAAAATGCAGATGCGTTGTCACCCATGAGGACCAAGATGGAATGCCTCGTTTCCAGTAAAAAGGGTCGCCAGTTCTCTACATTCACCATACTAATCACAGCAGCTTTAAGCTACTATTTTATGCTGGTATTCTGTGAGAGCATGATCCTTCCCAGGTCGAGCCTACCCATTCATGCTACAACTATGGCTAACTATATACAAGCATGGCTCTATCATGTATAAAGTGTACAAGCACAGTCACACTCTGCTCCCTCACTCTCATAGTTCGATGGTATTGTAATCCAACATGACAGAAGAGAGACCAACTGCTTTGAACTGAACCAACAGTTTTACGTGCTTTCCTAGGCATGGGGTGAATTTCCAACGTCCTGCCAATAACTGATTTTGGCCTAACTTGTTATTCGAACTCGGTACGTGATGCAACCGTGTTTACAACCACTAAACCAACGAAGCAGTCAACATCTTTTCATGTTACCACCATTTAAAATATCATTGTTCCTATCCTGCGAGATTTCTGGTATCACATTGTTTTCATTGTGCAGGATACCTGGTCAGGTGACCGATCGGCGCACGATGCTCGGCGAACTGAACTGGATTTTCACAGCGATCACTGACACGATCGCGTGGAGCTCGCTGCCTTCGGAGCTGTTTCAGCAGTTGTTTCGCGCTGATCTACTTACTGCGAGCCTGTGTCGGAACTTCTTGTTGGCTGATAGGATTATGAGGTTTGAATTTCATTATTACGGATAAGTAAGCTGAAGTGGCAATAGGGTGGCCAAACCGGTGTGGAAGAAAGGTTCGTCGAGTGGCAGCCTCGTATTGCTAGACAAAGTGGTAGATAGCACCCCACTAGATAGACCTGCATATCTGACGACCAGGTAAGATATGCAGGTAGTCGATGGATGCAGGTGGCTCAGGACTGTGCTTTGTGTCATTCCTTGGGGGAGGCCTATGTTCAGCAGTGGGCTTGTGAGGGGCATTGATTATGATAAAGATGGTGATCATTATATACTTTTTTTAAGCGTTGCAGAAACTCAAATTATTTTATAACTTAGCACTGTAAGTTCATTCTGTACCTTGACCAATCCATGGTCAAAAAATTATTAAAAGCAAAAGATAATCAGCGTTAACCAAAATTTTGGGCTGTCAATACCATAGTCCTCCCAGTATCTATGGTTGCCGCAAAGCACTGGGGATCACGGAATTTAGTAAATTTGTACTTGAAATAAATCATTAAATATAAATTAAATTGAAACTCACTTGCATATGGTGCACGTTGTCAATTTTTCTGGTGGTTGATCATGAAAAATATATCGCGACGAAATCGTCTTTAAATTTTATAGATTGATGATGATGAGTAATTAGCATTATAAATCCAATGCTGTCTGCTCGGTATTCACCAAATGCGCCTGCATTGTGTGGCGAATGGCGGGCAAATCTCTTTATACAAATGTATCATTTGGCGAATTTTTAAATAGCTTACGCCTTTAGAACAGTAAATTTTTAAAATTTGTCTAGAGGAAGAAGAAAGTATTATGGTAGATAGTAGGTAGTACGTAATTTACATCACTCTGTAGGTGTCGTAAGAGGCCTCAGAGGAGTGAGAGAAGATGGGCTTGCATGATGCATGATGAGCAGCATCTTCCTAAAAATGACCTCTGGGTCACCATCTTAAGCTGATTACGAGTTTCTGAAGCAACAATTTACACAAAAATTTCAGTAGTACTGATTTAAAATTAAGTTAGAGAAGATAAAACTTTCATAGAGGACAGCCAGTGTGAGTGAGTAAGCTAAGTGGGTGGTGTGTTGTGGTGCGCAGGTGTTACAACTGCACGCCGGTGTCGAGCCCAGCGCTGCCGTCGCTGGCAGCGCACCCTCTGTGGGCGGGCTGGGAGCACACGCTGGACCTGGCGCTGGCACAGCTGCCTGCGCTGCTGGGCGCGGACCCGCCCGCCTACCGCCACTCGCCCTTCTTCCGCGACCAGCTCACCGCCTTTCAAGTGTGGCTCGACCTCGGCAAGTGTACGTACCGCACCCCACCACACTGGGAGTACATGCTGGACCTGGCGCTGGCGCAGCTGCCCGCGCTGCTGGCCGCGGACCCGCCCGCCTACCGCCGCTCGCCCTTCTTCCGCGACCAGCTCACCGCCTTTCAAGTGTGGCTCGACCTCGGCAAGTGTACGTACCGCGCACCACCACACTGGGAGCACACGCTGGACCCGGCGCTGGCGCAGCTGGGCCGCGGACCCGCCCGCCTACCGCCACTCGCCCTTCTTCCGCGACCAGCTCACCGCCTTCCAAGTGTGGCTCGACCTCGGCAAGTGTACGTACCGCACACCACTACACTGGGAGTACACGCTGGACCTGGCGCTGGCGCAGCTGCCTGCGCTGCTGGCCGTGGACCCGCCCACCTACCGACACTCGCCCTTCTTCCGCGACCAGCTCACCGCCTTCCAAGTGTGGCTCGACCTCGGCAAGTGTACGTACCGCACACACAAAAGCACGTCTAAACGCGTACTTCGTGCTTCGTGCTGGCGTGGCGTGGCTGGTAGCAAATGACTAATTTTGAAATAAGAATTCCATGTTTTTAAAATAAATTAATTTGAAATTAGAATTTTAAGCCAAACAAAAATTATTTTGGTTTTCTTTTTTTTTTTTTTTTTTTTGTTTTTTTATATTTGTCTCCCCCCCGGTGTTTTTATTTGATTTGTAATAGCCAGTACTGCAGAACGGAAATTTTATAGGTGACGACCTATTTATTATTTACACTAACACAGCGCCAGCTAACGCTTCGCCACCGCAACAGACTAATATATATTTAAATTTTTACGAATTTTTTTGTACGTGGTAGAGCCATGCTGCAGCTGCAGCTATATTACTAGTGTAGTTGTAGCACGAATGAATCGGCTCGACCGGCGAAGAATCACGCATACGCAGAATACAGCATAAATAGCAGGTTAATGCTGGTGCTGTGTGGTGAGTGTAAACTGGAGACCCCCTTTTACTAGAAATGAAGCATTCCATTTTAGTCCTCCCGGGGGACAACGCATCTGCATTTTGATTCATGGTCGAGGATAGATATAGATATCTATGTGCCACAGCAACTACTTAACATCAGGTAAACTGTGTATTAATTTAATTTATATTCCCCACAATTGGAGCACGGGGGCCACAGCCTGGAGTGAGGAAGTTTGTGGTGCTTATTCCCAAGTCTCGCTAAGCACGTATAGCCGTTGGTCCTGCGCCTGATCTCTCCAGTTGTGTCGGTTTGCAATCCTTGCCTCCTGCTTAAGGCGCTACTCCTAGCGAACGACCTCGAGAGTTCGCTCCCATACATACCACGCGCTCTCGCTACAATAAATTGCGTAAGAAATACACCCAAATTTTAAATTATTTTCTTTATAAAATCTAATTTTAGTCCTTCGAAAAAATAAATATTTTATATTTTATATAAATTGCCTCTCCATTAGTGTCAAAATAAAATAATGCTTACTAGGTATATGTTACAATAATTATTTCTCTGTGGTTTAGTTGTAGGAAGATTCATCAAGTATTTACTCCTTTTAAAAAAATTGGAATTGGCTATTATGGAATCAAGATTATGTAGAAATTTAATAGATTTTTTATTAAGCAGATAGCTCCTAAAAACCTCACAAATAACGACTAGCGCGCCATTTTGCTCGAACACGCACCTTAAGTCAAACGCAGGAATAGAATAGAATAATTTTTTATTCAATATAGATTCCAAGTGATTCTTATTGAAAGTCAATATAATATTTTACTTTACCACTACACTTACAGAGGTGCGCTTTGTTTCCTCACTCTTATAGTCCCATGGGGCGGCAATCCGATACAGCCGGAGAAAATAACAACCAACGGCTTTATGTGCTCACCGAGGCACGGGGTTGAAACACCGCCAACTTTACCGACTCTGACCTACTATTGCGAATTTCCTGACAAAAAAATCCAACAACTGATTTTTCGCACCACACGGGATTCAAACCCAGGATCACGGAGTAGGTCAATTTGTAAGTCATGTGTATGTACAGTACATGTACATGTATTGTTTTTTTATTACAGGGTCAGCTTTAAGACCACCACCGGACCAGCTGCCGATGGTGCTGCAAGTACTGTTGAGCACTCTTCACCGCGTGAGGGCGCTGCAGATACTTTGCAAATTCTTGGCCTTGGGACCTTGGGCTGTGAAATCTGTCCTCGCTGTAGGCATCTTCCCTTACATGCTAAAGCTTCTACAGGCGTCCGCTCACGACTTGAGGGCTTCCATGGTGTACATATGGGCGAAGATTATTGCTGTTGATCCGGTGAGTTGTGTCTTAATTTAGCAAGTGTGTCGTCTTACGTGTCGTAAGAGGCAAAAGAGAGAAACTGAAACAAGGGATGGATAGCAGCATCTTCCTGACTACAACTCAAAATGATATAAAACTGCGTTTGCCAACTCGCTTGCCAAACGTGGCAAATATGACCGAATCTCCCCTATGAAGCAATCTATAGGGGAGGCCTATGTTCATCTGTAGACTTTTATAGGCTGTAATGGATAGATGGATACAAGTGACTATTTTGTTAAAGGTGCATATTTTACGTGTGGGCCGGCTGGCCAAAAGTTCAGAGATTGTACCACTAATGGGGAAAAAAGTATATCTTATTCCATATTGGTCTTGGACCATGAAGGTTAGAGAACACGAGAACGATCGCCGTAGAAAATAGTGTCCCAGAAATATGGACACCATAAGTGAGGCACTGCAATCGCTAAGTTCGGTCAAGAAAAGTCATTTTCAGTCTATTTTTCAGATCAGATGCTAAACCACTTGCACATCCACGCACAATAAAATATTTCACCATTTTTAATGTTTCTTTTTGTCAAAAATTACAAAATTACGGAGCATGAAAATTTTCTCACCAATGCCGCCGAGAAAATTTGTATATTATTCAACTAACTTTATCTACTTGTACTCATAAACAGCTAGCTTCGCAGTCACTACTCACCGACGTCAGCGCCGCTATACATTCTACAATTTTCTTTCAAGGACAGGCGTGCTATGCTTTAGTGTGTAGTGATCGTTCTCCTGTTCTCTAACCTTCATGGTCTAGGACTTATGAGTGAATGTCAAAAAATTGTATTTTTTTATAAAGCGCTACAATATTCATACTTTGGTATATAAATACCAAATCCACTGAATTAGACAAAAGAAAAACAATAAAAATCAATCTAAAGAAGTAGAGTTTTTTGCACATACAAAAAAGAGTGTCTCCGCATGCCCATTTTAGAAGAAAAAAATATTTTTTAATAATCGAACTAACACATTTTTTTTTAGTACAAGTGTACTTGTAAAACGATCACTATAAGAAACCTTAAATTTCTATAGAAAGATAGTGAATATGAGAAAACTGAAGTATTTTTTAAAAATATATTTATCATTTAATGATGTCTGCATATTTCGTTTCTTTGTGTGACGACGAAATTGTATGTCCTATTTGTACACTTTGTGAACGCATCCGTGTTTATTTAAATCCGGCAACTTTCGATTTTCCGTCAACCATACAAAGTAAAACGTTAGCCATCTTATGTTTGATGTGTTTGGTGTCAAGACCAGTGATTACCGTTTTGTCACTTTAAAAAAAAAAACACACACACACACACACACACATATATATATATAAACTTGTGTAACCCAAAATTTTACCCGCCGGTACTCGCGTCTCATTTTGTGACCTAAGCGGTCGCGTGAGGGTCTAAAAGACCCCAAAGTTAAATGCATTATTCTATGCCAATAAAGGTAATTATATTTTTTTTATATAAACGTAAAAGAAAAGGGTAACTAAAACAATAATGAGTCACAAATATTTATATATTTTGATTTATTTTTTATTTTTATCACAATAGCAAAGAGTTAAGTGCTAAATCTTACTTTTTTATGCATAGGAACCAGAATCACAGTCTAACTTTTTTATTCTAGTATAACTGAAAAAAAAAAACATTATTCTTACAAAAACTAATAAATTTTTTCCTAAAACAATCAATAAAATAAAACATTTAACATAACAAGTTTTTTTATAATCAGCTTTCAAACTTCTCATAAAAATCTTTCTCAAAATATTTCTAATTTTAGTCTTCTTGCCGTCTTATCTTACTTTTGACTCATTTTCTGATTACAATTAATACATAAAAAGGCCGTGTGATCTCTACATATGAAAGATTTACATATTTGGCATTGAGTTTTGGATTTTCTATCCTTTTTTAGGGGGGGCAGGTGGAACACCTCCTACGAATGTTACTAGGCCCAGCCGATGCAGTTCGATCTGTACTTTCTTCTCTGCCATGTACTTGAAACATTCTGCTCCGAATGTATCTGGGCAGAGTCGTAATAAAGACCTCTTTTCTATTTGTGGTTTAACAAGGGATAAAGCTATGTCTTTTAAAAAGTTACGTCTTTCGAGGGGTTCTTGATTTATATGCGTTATATTTGCGTTATAAATAACAAACGCATTTATACATCCCACATTCATAAGTCCAAAAAATATCGTTAGTGGCGCTCTTTTACTTACTCTTGATACAGAATATGTACCACACATCTCGTCAACCACGTCCACTCCACATTTATGCATATTATAATCCGTTATCACTTCTGGCTTGCGTTTATCTCCTGTATCAACATCTATTTTCGCATCATGATGCATTGTAGAAGCAAGAAGCACCATTTTTCCCTTTCTTGGTGAGTACGATACTAATGTACAATTAGGCTTAAAGTCAAAGTAGGTAGTCCATTCTTCTCGTCCTCGTGTAGCAACAAAGCATGGGGGTATTTCTGGTTTATTTTTACGAAGAGTCCCTACAACCGTAAGCTCATAATCTTCATACAATTCTGCCATCAATGGGATACTCGTGAACCAATTATCCATTAACACGTTACGATGAGACCCTCTTATTTGCTCAACCAAATGTTTCACGACATCTGGAGGAGAGTTACTTACAGCATGTGGTCCTGAATTTTGTCTTCCGGTGTATACTTCTAAACATGCCGAATAGTAAGTTCTTGAGTCAGCCATTACAAATATTTTTATTCCGTATTTGGCAGGCTTCTTCGGCATGTACTGGCGAAATGGACAACGACCACGGAATGGCTCCAGTTTTTCATCAATAGTCACTGTATCCCCTAAAGAGTAATGTTTCTTTATAATTTCAACGAATTTGGTAAATAAATCTCTAATTGCAGCCAGTTTATCATTTTGTCTCCTCTGTTCGCGTGTATTTGGATCATCAAACCTAAGGCAACGAAGTAAAAAATGAAATCTTTGTCGTGACATGGTAGCTATGCACATGTCTGATCCAGTGCCGTCAGTTGCCCAAAAATCCATGGTGTTCAAATGCGCTCCACGAAGTTTTCCACAGTAATAAAGAAGACCAATTAGAGTCTTCAATTCTACCAAATCCGTAGGTAAGCAGTCTCTTTCTCTTTAGAAATTATCGTGGATACTGTCAATATACATATTGGTATATGTCACAACCATGTCTAAAAGACTGTCAGGGAACATAAGACTCCAGCAGTCCAAAGGCGTAAGTGCATCTTTTGCCTCATTAATCGGTCCCGACGCATGAAAAATAATGTTGTGGCTACGAGTACGAACATTTCTAGTGGGTTCCTCAATACTCCAGTTATTGCAGCCATTTCTACCCACATAGTATCCTTGACGAATATAACTCAGAGGCACATTACTGAGATCAGGTCTTCTGTGTAACATTTCGGCAGAAATATTACCTGCTGAAAAATCTTCGGCCTCAGAATTATCATCATCGCCGCTTTGACTGGAATTTGAGTCGTCATCGTCGATCACTAAGTTATCTTCAATTTCTGAAGAGACTTCTCCTTCAATACCATCTTCCTCTAGAATTTCTTGAATTCTGTGATCGTCTAAAATATTACGCGACATTTCTGCAAAGAAAAAATAAACTAAAAATATTTTTAAAGAAAAATAATATACACTTACACAAACCGTCGCGTAAGGGTCGAAACGACCCGTACTCACTTTATACGTTCGTGCTGTCCAAACGCCGCGCGTGAACTGAGTGAGGCGGGGCGTGCGGGTAGCCTATATTGTAGCTTAAAGGTACTGAGTGCGACCATGAATAGTAACCAACATTTTAAAAGTTATGGAACAAGAAACTGGGTCTTTTCGACCCATGCGCGACTACTCGCGGGTTAAGGTTATCTTAATGATTTTATTACAAACATATTATCATAATATATTTACAATACTGCTATATAAAAACCTTTTTTTTTTGCTTCCTTTGGGTAACATTAGATGACATCACATAAAAATATTCCAAATTATGTTTTCTGTTAGAAAAATTGGAAGGTCCCCGAAAAATGCTTTGTTTTGGGAAAGTTAACGTCCATTTTCTGTGTATTTGTATGAACTTAATTTACTTTTCTTATTTGCCTCTTTTTTTGTATAACTTTAACGACCAAAACAAATAAAAAGAATTATGCATATGTACATATTCAAACTAAATCATGAGTAATAATGAACGATCCAAACTATACATATGCATCTCATGCGAATAAAACGGGAAAATAGGAAATAAATAAAATACATAAAACAAATTTTAGAGCGGGCTACTCTGCCATTACATATCTAAGCAAAATTTATCAATTTTACTTTTTCCCAAAGCTTTTCTAGATGTCTATTCAGATAAGTAATAAGTAGTACCATAATTAATTTTGTTGTTTTTGTTAAATTTTACCATTAATGTTATATAATATTTTTATTGTGTACTTAATTAAAAATGTATTAATGAATATAAAAATGGTTTAACCCGACTTGTGTCAAGAAAACAGTGGCTCAAATATTCTGTCTATATTGTTAAAGTTGCTGTCGTGTATTGGCATTGCTACCAATAAATATTAATGTGATTAAATTACTTTTGTTTAATATTGCTTCATTTTTGAGTAAAATGTTTTTAAACAAAAAAGTTCTTCCATTGTGTGATGATCATTTTTTTTTTGAGATTCGCTCTTATGGGTCCCATATTTATGTGTGGCTATTAGAAAAAAAATGTGCCAACTGTTCCTTGCCATGCTATAAAAGGCGACTAATGGGATCATCAGGTGAACTGTGTGCTCACTAGTCACCCTTATTTTTACTTTTTGTTTTAAAAGATTCTTTTTTTTTACAGAGTTGTCAAGTGGATTTGGTAAATGCGAAAGGGCACAAATATTTTCTATCAATACTTCAAGATCCTTCAATAGATGTGAGTTTTTAATAAACTGAACATATTGCAATTGAAAGTGTTTAGTTTACTAAATCAATTTAATTTTCTTTGTGGACAGAGTGAGCACAGAACGCTTGCAGCGTTTGTTCTGGCTGGAATTGTTGACAACTACCCAGCGGGACAGGAGGCAGCTTTACAGGTATGTCTTAATATCAACTAGAGAGTTTGTAATAATTTTAATTAATATTAACTAATTTAAATTATTAGAAACTTATAAAGAAGTGATCATGATTTAATTTAGAATAAAAAAGTGGCCACTATGGCATTCAGTTTCACCTATAAATGTACATGTCTAAAGTAAATGAATATAATAGAAATAAAGCGGATTCTATTCCAACATTGGGCTTTTAGAAGGATAAAAGTTGTAAGGATTAATTTTTAATTATAATTTGATTATTCCCACAACTATTTCTATTTTTATATGTACAAAAGAATGTTTAAAAGGTATCTTTTTTAAAGATTCGTCAAAATTAATTGAATTTGAACCCAAGCTTATAAGCTTACAAGTTTCAATATGATGTGGACCAACAATTCAATATTATATGAACCAGTTTACAAGTTCAATAGATATAAAATGTTTATATGTTTTTATGTTATGTAATCTATATGCATTAAATTTCAGTGTCTTTTGTAATGCAGAAATAACTGCTCTTTATAGAGTTCAGGGGGCTATTTACATGTTATTAGGACATGAAGAACATTTTCAAAATTATTGTCTGTCGAGTTTTCAGAAACGTCACGAACATATAGAGGTTGACAGGAGTGATGTAGACTATATTTTATCCGAAAACCTTTGAGAGATTTTATGTGAAATTTATAAATAAATAATAAAAAATATTACGTTCCTTAACCGCTCGTTTGCTTCTTGCAACCACAGTTGCAAAACAGAATCCTTAACTTTGCTCTATGCAACTGTGGTTGCAAATCGTCGAAGTTCTTTTAATTGAATTTAGACCATATTTTAAACGCACAGATTCTAACTATTACGTATTAAAACCAAAAACAAATATATATATATATACATACATAGATTTGGATCAAAATTACCAACCTCTTGGACGAAAAATATTGAAACTTTGTTAGTTAAACTTTAATGAGTGAAGTGACGCTTGAGTGGATTTAACGAGGTAATAAAATATGCCGTGAGTATTGAATTTTATTGATTTTTGCTAGTATTTATATATCAAATTAATATCTTATTAGTGTTTTCTTATAGTAAAGTAATATTTTTGCAAATAGTGTATGAAAAATGTGATAAAGTCGACTTTTAAAAATACTCAGAATGACGCGAATCTAAACATAATTTTCTATAGCTTACATTATCGTAATTATGTTGTATTCTTTAAATACGAAATAGTCGTAGTGGTATTTAAATATAATTATTAAATTTAAGTAATAAAGTTTTATAAATTGTTCATCATATTATAAGTTTTTATGTAATAACAGCCTAGATTGAAACTAACAAATCGCGATCAATTGCACAATCCGTGAATTCTTCATCGAGTTTCACTTAATATTTTTACTATGTATTTAAATATAAATCGTTTTATAATATAGATAAACATATGAAGCAGTTCATGAAGTTTAAGGATAATAAATAATAATACACTTATCGATCTTATTTTTTTGACAAACCCGATGTTTTACAAAAAGTCGCTAAAATGACTTGTACTTGTGATTTCAACACCTCTAAAATATTATTGTAATAATATTTTGATAGAATAACATATGTATTTTTATTTCTTATTTCAATGGCTATTCATAAAATTTAAAATATTTGAAGTGCTCCTCTCGAGTAAGTCATAAATTAAGTTTTATTGACGGCGGGTCGAACATAAGAAACACAGTCCCGATTACTGGCAAACTAAGCTACCCTTTTTTTGTTCGCAAGCAATCGAGCGGTTAATGAATCTTAGATCAAATATCAAATCAACCCCAGGTAAAGCAATGGCGGCTTGCTAGTGTATAAAATGTAATAACTTACATTATAGATGCAGTTAGTTCTGCGGTAAGTGCCTGTATATTATTGAAATTTTATCGTGTATCGCAGGGGTCGATGATCTCTCTGTGCCTGGAGCAGCTGAGTGACCCGTGGCCGCCGCTGCGGCAGTGGGCGTGTGTGGGGCTGGGCCGGCTGTGGCGCGGCTATGACGCGGCGCGCTGGGCCGGCGTGCGCGACCTGGCGCATGAGAAGCTCGCCGCGCTGCTGCACCACCCGCAGCCTGAGGTGTGCCCGCACCACCTGCACCAACTCCACCACGTACATCACCTGCACCATCTACACTACCTGCACCACCTCCACCAACTGCATCACCACACCACATACGTCAACTGCACCATCTACACTATCTGCACCACATACATCACCTGCATTACATCTGTTCCACCTGCACTGCAACTGCTTCTTCTCCACTACATGCACCACCTACAATATCTGCTTCATCTGCATTACACTTGCACTACACCTGCTTCATCTGCTCTACACTTGCACCACCTACACCACCGAAACAATCACCACTGTTATATAATTGCTGTTTAATGGTGTCTCAAGCTTTATATAAATTTGCTATCAGTCTGATAAATTTCCATACAGCTTACCTGATGGGATATGGATGCTGAGGATCCATAGACATACCCATCTTTTATTTAAGAATTTAAATACACATATATTGTAGACCCCTGTACACCCCTGAGGAATGTAGATTTAGTAATCTGTTACTGTTAAAGAGGTCTCCCATTCTTGTCACTTATCATATTTCTGCTATTATTTTATTTTGGTAATTACGTTCAAGCTTCAATCAAAATAAAAATAAAATGTACTTGTCTTTCACATCTTCATCTTGTAACCTCTCAATTCTTATACGCTGTAACGCAGTGGTAGACACAGATGTCCGATGCCGCCAACGTCTGAATAAACCCCTAATTCGGCGTAAGACCAGGTAGTGGTCCGTCCCTACGTTGGACCCCCGGTAAACGCTTGTATCCACCACTGCGCTCCTCATTCTTTCATCCACAGTTATGAAATCTATCATGCTTCTATCATCACCTCTTTCCCAAGTATACATGTGAATCTTCTTATGACGAAAAAAAGTGTTCGTCACAAAAAGATTCCTTTCTACACACACGGTGAGGAGGCTTTCACCATTCTCAAGTATAACATGTCGCGACCTCCTGAGCTTACAGGTTTCATCACCAAACATTCCCAGTATCCTTTCATAGCCAAGCCTCCTCACCCCCCAACCCTTCCATTAAAATCTCCTAACATAACAATATTTTCATTTTCCTTACATTTCAATAACACCATCCTTACCATCTCTCAAAACTGCTCTCGGATATAAGTGGGCTTAGGCATGTCTGGGGCGTAGACCCCTAGAACAAAGAACTTCTTTAGGCCCACTTTTATTCGTATCCATAGTTACACATTCATACTCTTTCACACATTGACCCATTCTTTCTGAAAGGATGATATCGACTCCCTGGCATGCTCGCTCGGTCTCGTCTACACCGAACCAGTACGCGGTATATATGCCATGTGTAGTGACATCCTTTCCCTTCCGCTTCGTCTCATTTACACATACTACATTTATTCCTCTATCATACATCATATCGCATACTTCATCCATCTTATCATTCATTGCTCCACATACATTCAGCGTAGCTAGACGGGCCTCCGCAATCCTCTTTTCGCCCGTCATCGTGTTATGTACCAGCTTTTTCCGTTCTACAATGCACCTGATCATGCTGAACTTTAAAGAGACATACATTAGTTTAAGAATTGGGTTGTCTTTAATACCGCAACCGTCACTAGAAATTATGTCGTAAAGAAAGTGGACATAACTAGTCGTTCTGTAATCAAGCTAGACATAGTCTGCCGTTGTAGTCAACGTGTCGTAACGTCATACCGGCTGAATGTTAGTAATGACGATAAAAAAGTCACTCAGTATAAGTTGCGTCAAGGGAAATAATGTATTTTTTTTTATTATTTATCGAGGATAGTATCCAGTATCCACGTACCGTCTGTCAAGAGTGTTTTCTGTATAAAAACGTTACCTCCACATTAGTATTTTCTCCTTTATCGTGGGTTTTTTTTAAATAATCTGCTTCAATCAATAATACTACTAGATTCCCGATAAGCGCTTCAAAAACGGCCCAAAAAATAAGACCACAAATACTTTTGTGGTCTTATTTTAAATTGGTATGGTCCAATCTTAGCCGAAGCACGAAATTTTTAACATAATATTTTTAACCTTACCACTTAGACTTTAAGTTTCATTTTAGAATAAATATTAGTGTACTTATGACTTTTTATATTCAAGCGGTATCTTTGTCGGATGCTATAACTTAAATAAACATATTTTGCAATGGTATTTAAACTTTATATTTGAGTGATAAGGTTTATAATAAACTGAAGTTGTTAATATTTTTAATCTTTTTTCTATATTTCATAGTAAGAAATATAGATGTTTACGTGTGTGCAAACGTGGCCACTTGAGCGACTTACTTTTGTTCTCGATCCTTAATCTAGTATAATCATTGATCGAAGATAATCTGCCATTAAGTTACAGTCGCTGTCTTTTTCAGTTAACATACAGAAGTTGTATAAGGACGAACCTCCTTGTGAATCCGTATGAATTGCGTGCGTGTGCGCAGGTGCGAGCGGCGTGCGCGTTCGCTCTGGGCACGTTCGTGGCGGCGGGCGGCTGCGGCGCACGCATCGAGCACGCCAACGCGCTCGACCAGCAGGTGGGCGTGCAGCTCGCCGAGCGCCTACCGCCCGACGCCTCGCCGCTCGTGCGCGCGGAGCTGCTCGCAGGTACACACACAGACACCTGCACCTGCAACCACATCCGCACCCACACTTGTATTGACAGCTACACCCATACTCGCACCGACATGCAACACCCACACCTGCACCCGCACTTGCACCCACACTCACATCCACATTTACACCTACATCCACTCCCGTACCCAAATCTGTAACTCACCCACACCGTGACCTGCACCTACACCGATACCTAAACCCTCACCGACCCCTCCACCCACACCCATACTCACACCTGCACCCATACTCACAACGACACTTACACCCATACCCGCACCTACATCTGTACCCGCACCCACACCCACACCTGCTCACCCACACCTGCTCACCCACATCGCACACCTGCTCACCCACACCGACACCTGCACCCACACTCATACCCTTACCTGCCTTGACACACCCACACCGTTTTAGAGAGTAATTTACTCCATATTATGTTTTGTGGGTGCGGTAATGGTAAGGACGAATATAAAAAATATTAGGAAAACATGACATAGAAGGCAATACACCATTAAGATTATTATTTATTTGGGTATTGTTTTAGGAATAAATTAAAAAAAATATTGTTGCATTGATTTTTATTTATTGAATCTAAAGTTATTATCTTTATTTATTTTCAGCACTGCAATGGCTGGTTTTGATATTCGAACAACACTTCATTGCTGTTTATATTCAAGAGAGAATGAGGCGAAGTGATAAGTAAGATATTTTATTTTTTTAACTGAAACAAATTGTTTTAACTTCTTGTTATTTATTTTTTGTTTGATTATCCGTTCTGTTCAATTCATGATGAGTATTTACATTATTTAGTTAGTATGTGGTTGACTTACAATAATTATGTCTTCCAGACCGAATTTCGGTTACGGCGACCGATTTCAACGGAGGCCAGCTATCTGCGTAGTACAGGATAAAAGTGCTCGAATGTATGCGCAAGCAAAGGTGCACTCTATTCCCTCAACCTCATTGGCCGATGGGACAGTAATCCTACAATACCGAAGAGAGATCAGGCGCAGGACCCACGGCTACTTTTACGTGCTTTCCGAGGCATGGGCATAAAACACCGCCGACTTCCTGGCTATGGGCTGCTACTGAGAATTTCTTAACAGACCCAATAACGGATTTAGACCCGCCCCGGAATTCGAACTTGGGATTTCATGATCAGCAACCGTGTTTACGACCACTAGATGAAAGAGACAGCCAAAAAAATTATTGCCGGGAAAAATACTGACGTTTAAGTTTTCGTCTTAAGTGATAATCATATAATTTTTTTTTGATAATATAAAAAAAGGTTCTTGTACTCGTATTAGATTTATCATCGACTACATTTCTATTTAGATTCTTTATTATCTGATAATAAGTAAAAAGTTTCAAATACGGTACCTTTTTGTCCATTGAATGTCGCACGATTACTTTGTACTGGATAAATATGTATTGTGCTTGCAGCTGAGAAGAGAGGAATCATTGACTTGCTTTAAAGAAACGATACTATGTAGTTGTACACTTTTCTTGTTACCCACAGCATATACACTTCATTATAGATCATTTACAAGTACCTACGTGCCATTATTCATGAGTTCATATATTTAGGCATAGAATTATTAGGCTTAGAACCGCAGCAGGCGCACGCAAAGTGAAGCCGTTTCAAGTTAGCCTTTTAAGGCTAAGTACGACTTTCAGCGTGTCAGTACTCGAGTCCACGTAGTCGTGTGAAGAGCTCATGCCATTTTGCAAAAAAACAACTGACTGTGTTTTAAAAGGGTGTCACAACTCATCACATAATCATGAAAAAAATCTAAAAATATCATTTCACTGGTAATTACTTACGTTTCTAATGATAAAAATATTTAATAAATATTTTTAGTTTCGTGTTTTATTTGAATGGTTTTTCTCCTTCCGAATCTTATTTTGTTTTAATACAAAACGCCTATTCAAAAAAGTATATCATATATTTATATAAATATATAATACTATATACTTATATAAAAATATCTTTACTAACAGAATAATATAATGATATAATAGATTTGTGAATATTATTATAGCATGTGACATTACGTATATAGATAATTTTAATAAAATATTATTAACATTAATATAAATAATTTTATATTTACTCTTCTTATTAATAAATAATTCTAAACGCAACCTAAATATAAATTTTACGACTATATCCACTATTACACTTTGCCCATTTTTTGGGAAAATTGTCATTTACTTGCATACATTACTCATTTGCTTGTGCACACATTCACTGTGTTGTTGCTTCAACTTTGAACGGAATTTTGAATGATGCTATCACTCTAAGTCTAATTACTCTATGTATTTAGGTATCTGAGATTAATTTGTTATTTCTCATTTCAATGGCATTGTATTCTTTTGGTGGAATAAACGTCTTATACCGTAAGGGTGGAAATCATTGGCTTAGTGTGATAATGGTTGTGTTCAGGGAGTCAAGGCGCAGCGGGCGGGTGGAGGCTGGGCAGGACGCGCTCGCGCCGGCGCGCACAGGGCTTGCACACACGCTCGCACACGCGCACACACCGCGCACAGCCCTCGTGCTGCCAGCCATTGGTACGTACATGTACACTCGCATGCACACACGCACACACGCTCGTACACGCACACAGCCCTCGTGCTGCCAGCCATTGGTACGTACATGCACACACGCACGCACACACGCGATGACACAGCCCTCGTGCTTCCAGCCATTGGTACGTACATGCACACACGCAGTGTCGTACACGCACACAGCCCTCGTGCTGCCTGCCACCACACACGTTCGCACACGCGCACACACCGCGCACAGCCCCCGTGCTGCCCGCCATCGGTACGTACACGCACGCACGCTCGCAGACACGCTCCCACACACACACACACACACACACACACACACACACACACACACACACACACACACACACACACACACACACACACACACAGATACACACAACGAGACGAGCACACACACACACACACACACACACACACACACACACACACACACACACACACACACACACACACACACACACGTACACACACGCACACATACACACACACACACATACACACACACACACACAGCACACATACACACACACACACCACGCACGCACACGCACGCACGCACACGCACATACACACGCACGCGCACACACAACTAGATTTGTCTAAAATTTTATTTAGTTTATGTATAATGATCTAAAACGGACCCGCTGCCTTCTCTCGGTCAGATAATCTTCTATCAGTTTTAGTAGATTACCCCTAACACCGGCCCTTTCTAGTTTTTTAGCAGTTGAGGGATAGAGACTGTGTCAAAAGCTTTAGACAAGTCAAGTCAATTTATGCTCTTTCCGCACTTGTAAATGCAGCAACAGGCCATGGTATTTCATGAGTATATTCTTATATAGGGTTACTGGGAACTCAACAACTTCCTGGCAGGCCGTGATAGGGGAGTCAAAATGCTACAAATTTGACCCCCCTTATATATGGCCGAAAATGAACAGGTCTTGAGATGTACGGATTTTGAAAGATTTTTCAATAATCACCAAGAATTTCGTATTTAATTCTAAATAAAAATAAAATATTTTTTGTATGCTTTCTTTTAAGTTTTGTTTATTTCCTTGAAGTCTCAGTCAAGCTAATACAATCATAAAAAGTACAAAAAGTATTCACAATAAAAATGATGGGTCTTAATATTTTTTTCTTTTTTGTAGACTGTAACATAAAACTTCAGAAGATATAAAATAATTTAAAAAACATTCCCAAATTACTTTTAGTATCTTCTGGAGCATCTGCTAATAAGTTTTCCTAATCATTTCGCGAATTATTTAATGGTGTGTTCAACTCTCTTGTCTCAATAATTTCAGTATTTTATTAAAAGTTTATTATTGATGTTTCCTGAAAATCATTGTGGTAGTGAATTTAATGAAAAATATTGTTAAGAAAGTAACATTTTTAAAGGCAACAGTGCTACTGTTGTAAATCTTTGTTCTACTGGTAACGAAGTCTTCTATCTTCGTTCTTAGAAATGCTAAATCATCTGAATTTTGTTTCTTAATCGAGGATAGATATAGGTGTCTATAGGTATCCATTCACCTTGGCGGGACTGTGTAAATTGTAAATAATATATGAGAAATTCTACCGGCTGGGTTGCTTACGGACTTTGATGATGGTTTGATGACCTGTAATTTTCTTTTGTAGGTTTCGGCTCGGTGTACATGAAGTTGTGGACAGCGTTGTGCAGCATGGCAAAGGAGCCACATCCGCAAATCTCACAGATGGCTTCTGACATCATTAATTACATATCCAACCAGGTACTGGCCTACGTACCTTTTACTGTTATCTATATACACAATAGAATGTCTGTCAACTTTATTTTGTACGAGGATCGGCGTCGTTTAAGTCCCCCATGAGCGTGACTTAAACGTGGTTTTAAGTCACCGTGTACTAATAATAGTATATTACGATTACAAGGGACTTAATAGCCGAGTATTGAACCGTGTGAAGTTCGCGCACGAGCGAATCGAGTGCACTAAGTTTACTCGTTTTAATAAACGGTTACTTAAGTTTCGTGTATCGAACGTTAATTTATAGTACAAGTGAATCCACGAAATTTTGACTTTAATCCAAATTCAAGAAAAACATTATTTGAAATTAAAATCAAACAGTAATGTTCTTTCTGAGAATTTTACATCTAAAATATCAAAATAATGTCCAAATGAAGAAGTTTTGTTAGTAAATACATAGAATCTAAAAGTTTCAGTACAAGAATTACAACTTCAATCTAAAGATTTAATTAAACAGCGGGACCAAAGGTACAACGAGACTCTATTTACAGAAGTTTTGTATGATTGTTGGCTTATATATAAATGATTTATTAATTCACTAATCACACGCTTCACTCGTGGGCTAACAAGTTCCTTGTATCGTAATGCACTATTATAAAACACTGAACCAATTTATCATTGACAACATAAGACTGTAGACATATAATAAGACATAGCCAGTATAATAAATAACAGACTGTGAGCGATGTCATCTTAGTTGTTGCGAGTGTTCCGTGAGCTGTTTATAGCCCTGTCATTTGTCATACACATTACTCTAGAATGTTGTTTCTCTGAATTGAAGGTAATTTATCTCGCAGGTGGACAATGTAAGCCGAGAAACAGAGATGATACGAAGCAGCAGCGGCTCCAGCTCCTTGCCACCCTCCCCCAACACGAGGCCCGCTCCACTCAGCTCGCACGGGGACACGCGAACATTACCCATCATGGGTACGTACACATGCACACACAGCTGCCCACCATTGGTACGTACACACGCACGCATATTGCCTAGTATAGTTATGTACACATGCAATATATAGTCAATTATATGTACGCCAGTACATATATAGCTAGATACTTTTTCTTGCTTTTTATGTCGATGACATGGTAAGAATGAACTGTTATTCATCATAAATAAATACATTTTGTATGTGCAGGTCATCGGCGAGGCAAGTCCGGCCTACCTCATACGATATCGGAGGACTCAGTAGCGCACCGTGATCGTGAACGTGAATCTACTTCTTCTAACTCTAGTGAGTATATTTATTTATACTTTATTGTTTACCTAAAGTAGTGACCTTAAATAAAAAGATTGCAGAGAGCAGACTTAAAGCCTTTTGGAATTCTCTCCCAGTCAACCCCGGGCGAAAAGAAATAACACACAAATTACTTATACGCAATAAATAAATACATATACCTATTATATATTATTTAGTATAAATTATATTTCTCTAAATATATTACACTTACATTATTATTAGAGAATGTTTTTTTTAATGGAATATGGAATATGGGCGACAAACGGGCACACCGTCTATTTATCCACAATTAAGAATCAAAATGTGTATGCGTTGTCACCTCTGAAGACTAAGATAGAATGATTCGTTACCAGTAAAAGTTCTCTGAACATAGGCCTATGTTCAGCAGTGGACGTGAAGGGCTGTAATGATGAATGATGAAAAAGTTCTCTACATTCACCATATGAAAAATATTATGTAAAAAAGTATTAAGTATTAAGCTGTTATTTTATGCTGGTATCCTGTGAGAGCGTGGTCCTACCCCGGTAGAGTCGACCTATTTGAGCTATAATTATAATATAGCTACAGCATAGCTCTAACACGTAACAATCCTATTTATTGGCGATATACTGGTGGGTTCGTTTAGCTTTGATTTGGGTGGGAACAGGTCAAACAACAAAGAAGGCTATAGTGAGCACTGAGTTCGTGGAGTGGGCGACGGCGCAGTTCTCGCGGGGCGAGTGCGGTGCGGGTGTGGGTGAGGGAGAGGACGGGAGCGAGCAGGACAGCGAGAGCCGCGCGCACCACGAGCGCGTGTGGCGCCGAGCTCGCAACCGCAGTCTTCGCCGCGCCGCTAGGGGTACGCACGAACACGCACACGAATGCATTACGCACACGCAGGCACGCACACATACGTACACACGCGCCTACACAATTATTACGGCTGACCAATTTCAAAATCCAAAAAGTGATATTTAATATGTTATTAACATTTTTACTGTCACTTTTTGGGTTTGTTTTGCACTGATATTTTTGGTTTCAAATCAAGCTGTAACCACTTCAGGCGTTGAATTTTCCAAAATTCTTTCTTATTGGGTATCCAAGTTGGGAAAGCGGTATTTATGCCTAATTTTAAGTCAATCTGACGTATAATTTTGGAGATATCGTGATGAGCTTGTAACATTGTATAGAGGGGAATTGGATGGGTGTTGTAAGAGGTGGCAGATTAAAACTACTGAGGATGGGCAGCCGCACCTCCCTAATAACATTATAACCTACCAAAGTTCACTGCTGAACATGGGCTTCCCCCATAGATTGCGTCATAGGGGGTCATTTGCCATAGTTGCCACGCTCGGCAAGGTTGACAACTGCAGTTTTTTTTTTAATTTTAAGTCGCTATTAGTAAAACACTACAGAGGAGTGGGAAGTCTGTCGGGTATTTGCTGTGCAATTTAAATACAGGAGAAAATCCTAGTGTAGGGGTAAGTTTTTTAGCTATGCCCCTCTCCAGATTTCTTTCCGTCTGTCGTCTCTCACGTTATCCACGGGATGATAAAGGATAGTGAATAATTGTACAAAGCCACTACTCGATAAATTACTTTAAAACAAAAATTATTTTAAGTGGACAACTAAAATGCAACAAAAGACAAAATTAAACCTATTACTTACACATACATACAGCTTTTGATGTTGTTCTCATCGATCGATGTGACTGATTCGTAAGTCGACTCTTACGACTTTCACTATCCTATGAAACAATCATGGTTGGCCGGTGTTCAGCAGTGGACTTTAATAGGCTGTAATGAACGGGCAAATAATTTTTGACGATTTATTGTTAGTTTGTTTAATCAGTATAAAGCTGTAGTAAAGTGTACGGTGTAACGTTGTGTGCCGGTGCACAGCGCTGCTCGGGGCGGGTGGCGGGGGGGTGCGGCTGGACACGCAGAGCTTCCACTCACGCTGCGCGCTGCCGCCCGCCGTCGTGCGCTTCCACCCCTACGAGCAGCATCTTGCCGTCGCCTTCAAGGACAACTTCGGGTAACCAACCCCATGTGTCCTACGGATATTTTCTATAGTATAACTTGACTCCAGCATTAGTAAATAATTTCATTTACAATATATTGTCTTTAGTTGACATTCAGTGCCCAACAAAACGATGTGAAAAAATTATTAGTATATTTTTGGAGTGAATAACTTCTTTAGGCCGCGTTTCAACCTGCAAGAAGTATCCAAAAGTCTGTCAAACAGTAGCTTCCAAATGTAAACTACGTAGCAAGCGCACTTGCGACAGTTTACCAAACATTTCCTGCAAGTAGTTGCAAGTGTAATTAAATGCAAGTCTAAACATGTTCACATCGACTCGCGACATATCTTGCTGCTTAGTTTCGTATATACCTCACAAGAAGTACACCCGATTTAAATAGGAATTCAGCATAATCCATCATTGGTGATCATCTTTGTCTTTATGGAATGCATTAGCTATATCGCGTACTACGGGCCGATTATTTCGCGATCCACATTGATGTTCATGTTATCAATGAAAGAAAAATAGGTGGTTTTTTTAAAGGATATAAAATTAAAAATTTTATTTAATATTAAGTTATCACAACTCTCTTCAACTCTTATGGAGTAATATATATATATAACATAGGATATGGCAAAAAAATTATAAGGCCACGTTTCCACCTACAATACTCTTACTAAATTGCCATAGTCTTCGCGACATCTATAGCTCTCGTGTGTCTATGCTATAAGTTTAAATATCTATGCTATAAGTTTCGATAGAATGTTTCGCGTTCTTCTCTCGAGATATTAATTGCACAAAAAATAGCAAGAATTCCTTCAATATATAAACAGTATTGCAAAAAACTTATGCAAGACTTCCGCGAATGTTCCTGGAGGTGGAAACACGGCCTTAGAATCGGAAAAGCGACACTAAAAAGAGACAATCATATACATCTACAGGATTTAGTCTGCGACAGAATGAGATAGAATTATATTTAATTAGTTGTGTTAATTAATGATGCGTAAAATAGACGCCAGATGGTCTAAATCTGGCGTCTATTTTACGCATCATCTTGGGAGTTAATTAATTTATCTTGAGAGTCAATTAATTTTTGTTCGATAAAATTACTTTACTTATAGAAGTAAATAGATAGTGCTATTACAAAGCAATTTAAAAATATATATTTTTTATATATTACAATAAAATTTGGACTCTACATGTCTAAATATAAAGATTGTAATATTTATGTGGCATAAAATATGATAAAATTAAACTTTTATCATATTTTATGCCACACTTGTGGTTAAAAATTATTTTATTACATAAATTACTTCCCGCGAAATATTTTAGTTTTATATGAACTGCACACATGGTCCTTTTTTCTAGTCGGATATTATCCTGCCGCCGATGAAAGTCGCTTCGAAGTGCCCACACGTTTTCGCCACTTTAACTTTAAGAGGCGCTTCGACATCATTTCCATCATTTAATTTGAATTTGCCACTATCTTGAGTCTTGAAAACTTCGTTGATTTTCCACTTTAATTTAAATTAGTTGTTTAGTATCTAAAAATACACAGATAGTATGATTATTTTATTATAAGATACACCCTATAATCTCATACAATTTATTTGACATGCTTGTTTTGGCTACACAATAGAATTACAATTATCTAGGAGTTTCGTAAACAATTAGGGAAATGGGTAAAAGGGATTCTCGAGTGGCGGCTTCGCACTGGTAAGCGAAGTATAAGGCCGTTCCCCAATAGATGAAGTATCGACTTGGTATCAGGCGATCAGTTTTGAGCGTGTCGTCGCTAACCATACCCACTTTTGGTCTGACGCACACTTTAACACGATCGCCTTCATGAATTGCAAGAACAACATCCGAAATATCTATACTATTGTAGGTAGATATAAAAAATGAGTTGGTGAGGGATAAATTTTGAAGTGTGAAATTTCAGGATCTGGGACTGGGGCACGGCGGCGAAAATCTGTGCAGGCGCGTGGCGTCGGTCGTGGGGACGCATCACCGCGTTGGCCTACCTCAACGCGCACGAGCGCGCGCTGCTCGCAGTCGCCTCGCACTCCGGCAACCTCGCCATCTATAGGTGAGCAAGCGGGACAGACAGAGCGAGAGCGTGGCATCGGTCGTGGGGACGCATCACCGCGCTGGCCTACCTCAACGCGCACGAGCGCGCGCTGCTTGCAGTCGCCTCGCACTCCGGCAACCTCGCCATCTATAGGTGAGCAAGCGGGACAGAGAGAGCGAGAGCGTGGCATCGGTCGTGGGGACGCATCACCGCGCTGGCCTACCTCAACGCGCACGAGCGCGCGCTGCTCGCAGTCGCCTCGCACTCCGGCAACCTCGCCATCTACAGGTGAGCAAGCGAGACAGAGAGAGCGAGAGAGTGGCGTTGGTCGTGGGGACGCATCACCGCGCTGGCCTACCTCAACGCGCACGAGCGCGCGCTGCTCGCAGTCGCCTCGCACTCCGGCAACCTCGCCATCTACAGGTGAGCAAGCGAGACAGAGAGAGCGAGAGAGTGGCGTTGGTCGTGGGGACGCATCACCGCGCTGGCCTACCTCAACGCGCACGAGCGCGCGCTGCTCGCAGTCGCCTCGCACTCCGGCTACCTCGCCATCTATAGGTGAGCAAGCGGGACAGAGAGAGCGAGAGCGTGGCATCGGTCGTGGGGACGCATCACCGCGCTGGCCTACCTCAACGCGCACGAGCGCGCGCTGCTTGCAGTCGCCTCGTACTCCGGCAACCTCGCCATCTATAGGTGAGCAAGCGGGACAGAGAGAGCGAGAGCGTGGCATCGGTCGTGGGGACGCATCACCTCGCTGGCCTACCTCAACGTGCAGGAGCGCGCGCTTCTTGTAGTCGCCTCGCACTCCGGCAACCTCGCCATCTATAGGTGAGCAAGCGGGACAGAGAGAGCGAGAGCGTGGCATCGGTCGTGGGGACGCATCACCGCGCTGGCCTACCTCAACGCGCACGAGCGCGCGCTGCTTGCAGTCGACTCGTACTCCGGCAACCTCGCCGTCTATAGGTGAGCAAGCGGGACAGAGAGAGCGAGAGCGTGGCATCGGTCGTGGGGACGCATCACCGCGCTGGCCTACCTCAACGTGCAGGGGCGCGCGCTTCTTGTAGTCGCCTCGCACTCCGGCAACCTCGCCATTTATAGGTGAGCAAGCGAGACAGAGAGAGCGAGAGCGTGGCATCGGTCGTGGGGACGCATCACCGCGCTGGCCTACCTCAACGTGCAGGGGCGCGCGCTTCTTGTAGTCGCCTCGCACTCCGGCAACCTCGTCATCTATAGGTGAGCAAGCGGGACAGAGAGAGCGAGAGCGTGGCATCGGTCGTGGGGACGCATCACCTCGCTGGCCTACCTCAACGTGCAGGGCGCGCGCGCTTCTTGTAGTCGCCTCGCACTCCGGCAACCTCGTCATCTATAGGTGAGCAAGCGGGACAGAGAGAGCGAGAGCGTGGCATCGGTCGTGGGGGCGCATCACCTCGCTGGCCTACCTCAACGTGCAGGGGCGCGCGCTTCTTGTAGTCGCCTCGCACTCCGGCAACCTCGCCATCTATAGGTGAGCAAGCGGGACAGAGAGAGCGAGAGCGTGGCATCGGTCGTGGGGACGCATCACCTCGCTGGCCTACCTTAACGTGCAGGGGCGCGCGCTTCTTGTAGTCGCCTCGCACTCCGGCAACCTCGCCATCTATAGGTGAGCAAGTGGGACAGAGCGAGCGAGAGCGTGGCATCGGTCGTGGGGACGCATCACCTCGCTGGCCTACCTTAACGTGCAGGGGCGCGCGCTTCTTATAGTCGCCTCGCACTCCGGCGACCTCGCCATTTATAGGTGAGCAAGCGAGACAGAGAAAGCGAGAGCGTGGCATCGGTCGTGGGGACGCATCACCGCGCTGGCCTACCTCAACGCGCACGAGCGGGCGCTGTTCGCAGACGCCTCGCTATCTACAGGTGAGCGAGCGAGACAGCGACAGCGAAAGAGCGAGTCGCAGCTCCGTGTGCAGCGGGGACAAATGTCAATACATTGCGCACTATATAAGTTACGCTCAATTCTCCGTAATTCCTTTAGTCGACGGCGAGTGGAAGAGAACACTAGTTTGTTTTGTAAACTGCGAAGGTTGTTTTCGACAATTTTACACTTTTGTTTAAAGTATACAAGGTGTACAAGCATGTCATGCAACATACAATTGTTAAGTCATCATTTCACAACTTGACCTCTTTTACATATTTCCACGGCACATGTATTTTAAAATCAGTTCACCTATAGCCATCAAGAGCGCTACGCGTGCTCATTATCAGTAGTTCTAGCATTTTAATTTGTGTACTTATTTTTTTTTTATTTGGCACACCAACAGCATATAAATGTTACATGAATATAAATTGGACACTTCGACAAAGCCATTTACACAGGTATTCGCATATGGTCCATGTAAACAATAACAATAAACAAAGTAATGAGGAATGTTTTCAAAATTTAGGAGTATTTAAAAATTTGTTGCACCCTCGGCGCGGGGGCCAAAGAACTCCAACGCAAACAATCTACTTACATTATGAGGCTTGGTATGGAATAGTTCTAATTCGCCGTTATTTATTGACAGATTGTTAAAAAGTTACTCGCACGAATAATAAATGAATTGCGGCGGTAGTTAGTATTGACTCTAGGAATAGCTAGTGGCTGAGTACGTCTAGTTGGTAATCTGCGCGGAACCCAGATGCTTACCTTTTCCAGCAAAGCAGGGCAATCAATGATGTTATGTCCGACAATGTTTAATAGATACGTAATATCGAAGAGTTGCCGTCTTTTCTCTAAAGGTAAGAAGTATCTATTGCATCTCGTTTCATAACCATGGTCCAATTTCTTACAATTGTATTGTATATATCTCAAGAACCTTTTTTGTATGGACTCAATACGGGAATTATACACTTTATATTGTGGATTCCAGACCACAGAGGCATAGAGGGATACTGCGCACATAAGCATAATAAAGTACTTTAATCGGTTTAATAGATTTAAATTCATATACTTGGAGATCATAGACTTGGAGGCCTTTTTCACTACGTAATCAATCTGCTTATCAAATAAGAGTTTAGAATCTTGAATGAGACCCAGGTCTTTCATAGATGTAACTTTGTTAAGTGACTTATTATTGATTTTATACTGATAATTTATAGGGTTAGATTTACGAGAAAAGGTCATAGCAAAACACTTGGAAACATTCAAATCAAGCTTATTTTGAGTACAGTATTATACAAAATTATTCAGATCGGATTGAAGGCGATCACAGTCTTCAGAGCTGTTAGTGGCCATAAAGATCTTAGTGTCGTCCGCGTATAATAAGACTCTGGCATGTTTGAAACATAACGCAATGTCGTTAATGAATATAACAAAAAGCAAAGGCCCTAAAGAGCCTTGAGGCACGCCAGAAGGAATTGTTATCCACGCAGAGGTAAAACCATTTATTGCAACCGCCTGGGATATATTACTGATGTAAGAAGAAAACCATCTAAATAAACTACCATGTATACCCGCTTTGTACAGCTTCTCAAGGAACAGCAAGTGATCTATACGATCAAAAGCTTTACTAAAGTCAGTAAAAATACAATCGACCTGTAGCCCTGAATCCATTTGTGAAGAGGTGTATTCATTAAAAAATAAATGGTTTGATCCAATACCCGAACAATAGTCGACCTCTGCTTTAAAAAGCCATGTTGTTCAGGAGTAAAAGAAGACTGCAGTGTAGCATATATCTGTCGGTAGATAACTTTCTCAAATATTTTGGCAAATATACACAACTTAGATATAGGCCTATAATTTTTTACATTAGAACGGTCGCCGCTTTTATGTACGGGCGTTACGAATGCTGATTTCCAGGTCATTGGCACTATACCTTCTTTTAAAGAACGCTTGTAAATAATGCATAGAGGCGTAACCAAGCTATCTACGCACTGCCTTATAAAAAAGGTGTTATACTATTAGGCCCAACGCCTTTATTCATGTTAGTAATTTTCAGCAATATTTCAACAATATATTTTATTAAGCTTATCAAGCATTATCAGTTTATAATCCCCTTAGTGTCGGTACTACCCCGAACACAAGGAAACGTAAATTTGAAATTTATTTCAATAAATATGTAACTTCGTATTTTTCTTAAAACAGTAGGTAACTGTCCTTAATGAAAATACGTGGCGTGGCATATTTACTATGCCAACTTACTTACAACTGTAACATATTTTTTGTTTCAAATGGTCGGTCTAGAAGTCTTTGGCGCGAACTTAATTTGAACAAATGAACGTTTCGTTATAAATTAATTTTCTATACTTATTTGTATGTGAGATAGGTTTTATAAGTTACAAGTAAGCAAATAGTCCACTTGATGTCAAGTGGCTATAGTCATTAACACCTGTAACTCTCAATCGTCGCATCTGACAAAGATAAAATATCTCTTAGCCAGAAATTATAATCCTAAATCTTAGGCAGAAATAGTTGCAAGGTGCACAAATGAGCATTCTTAAGATAATGTATAAAATATAAATTGTATATGGTTGTAGCAGCCAGATTAATCAAACCGAAACGGGAATAAATAATATATACTTCGCTGCTACCATAACGCGGAAGGCGAGAATAAATAAAAAAACATTTTATTTCCTAATTATTCTTGGCTACTGAGATACTGCGGACTGTATATAGATAATTTGACGTTCTTATAAAGAAGCAAGAAGCAGCCGCAAATATCATTCAGCGCCACACCGACTTCACACGCCGCTATCGTCACGTATCCGTCGACCAATGGTGAGCCGTTTCTTCAACGCCGCAGTTCGTTTCCTCTTGCTGTTCCGGAGCTGTAGTCCACACTGCCGCCGCCCGCCGACTACGCGTGCGCACCGATCTGCATGTCTTATATAGCCCGGTCCAGCGACGTAGCTTCGTGAACAACAAACAAGTCTCACGCCGGGAAACGAAACGTAGATAATTGTATATTTTAAATAGTTTTCATTGGTCATAAAATAAGCAATATAAAATGGCTAGGCAAAATATTAATTGTTACCATTGGCAAATCAATAGTGAGCCAGCCATATAAATATAGGCAAGGTTGATGCAAAATATATTCCATTCCGAATCCCATTCGACAGTACATTCATAAACATAAACAGTAGTTTCATTTCTCCACCTTAAAGAAAACCACTCGGAGTCTGTTAATAGTGGACAGTTCGTCTCCACTATTACAGTGGTGACCCCGTACGAACACCGAGGGGGAAGATCCGGTACGAACACCAAGAAGGAACACCCTGCGACGTACCACTACTATTGCACGAACACCGCGAAGGAAACCCGTACGAACACCGAGAAGGAAGACTTCAGTTTATATAAAATCAGTGTAATCAAGCCGTCATTATGGAGCAGGAGGCAAACACATATACATCAAACCCGGTAAAGGAACCAGAAATCGCCGGTATATCTCTATCGTTAAGAATACCACCGTTTTGGAGAGACAAACCACGACTTTGGTTCGTCAGTTTTGAAGCCGCAACGAATGGTTTAAAGAAGAGCCAAGCGCAATTAGCACAGATGGTGATAGCCCAACTTGAGAAACAAGACATCGAACAAATTGCGGACCTGTTGTACAACCCACCAGCAGTCGACCAGTATAATTCACTGAAGGATCGTCTGATCTCCGCATATGAAGAATCCGACAGTCGACAGCTACAAAAACTTCTATCAGAAATAGAACTTGGAGACCAGAAACCCACACAACTCCTACGCAAAATGCGTACTTTGGCGCGAGATAAAGTTCCGGATTCAACACTACGGTTAATGTGGGTAAACCACCTACCACCACATATTCGATCGGTAATAGCAGTCAGCGAAACATTCAGCACGCAGACGAAGCTCGACGAACTGGCACTCCTGGCGGACAAGATGATCGAAAACAGCAGTAGCTCACACATATCGATCATCGAAGGCACTTCAACAAAGGCCAATGATACCCAGTTTCTTCTCGAAGAAATTCGGAAGCTATCATTCGAAGTCGCCGCGCTCAAAGCTTCCCAGCATCATACCTTTTACCAGCAACAGTACAACCAGCGCAATCAGCAACACCGAAGATCACCTTTTCGTCGCAACCGCTCTGCAAGTAGAAGTCGAATAAGCTCAACATCAAGATCCCCTTACTGCTACTATCATCGACGTTTCGGGGTCGAGGCAAGAAAATGCACAGCACCGTGTACATTCAAAAATGAAAATACGAATACGGAAAACTAACTAGTACGCTCGATGCGACGGGATCCAGCGTAACAGCAAAGTCCTACCGTCTTTTCGTCACCGATAAAAAAAGCAAGCTCACTTTCCTTATCGACACCGGAGCAAATATCTCAGTGTTACCGCCGAAGCAAGGACAGAAGTTGAAGCCACTAGATTTTCAACTCTATGCAGCAAACAATACGGTTATTCCTACATATGGAGAAAAAACAATGGAACTTGATTTTAATCTACGCCGACCATTCAAATGGAGATTTATCGTCGCTAAAGTCAGCAAACCAATCATCGGTGCTGATTTTCTTCAACATCACCAGTTGGTCGTCGACATCAAAAATAGAAGAATCATCGACGGGAAAACCAATCTTGCATCTCAGTCTTTTGTACAAGCAACCAATCTGCCCACAATAAGAAGCATAGATGTGCAACAACCGTATCACAAGATCCTCGAAGAATACCCTGGTATCACAAGAATAACTTCAATGAAATTAACACCTTGAATGAAATTAACACTTAATATATACTTCGCTGCTACCATAACGCGGAAGGCGAGAATAAATAAAAAAACATTTTATTTCCTAATTATTCTTGGCTACTGAGATACTGCGGACTGTA